TAACTCATTTTAAGACTAAGCCTACCCTCTTCTCTTAATGCAAACAGTATCGTTTGTTCAAAAAATAGAGCATTGAGATTAATCTAGATAAGGACGAGAGCATAATGCAGTCATACGCAGTTGATAGAGCATGAGATTAATCTAGATAAGGACGAAAGCATAATGCAGTCATACGCAGTTGATGATAACTCTCTAAACAGTCTTTGCTCTTCTAAAATAAGTATTAACTCTCTCTTTGTATTTGCAATCACAGGGTAATTACTTGATCCCTTGTACAGCTGCTATAGTTGGAAAAATTACATGATCCCATGTAATTACTACAAACACCACCACACGGTATGGATAATCAACTGCGTGATATATATAATCAGCCTACGTTTATCGTACGAGTAGAAAACAAGTTTAAAGTGCGGATAAACCTAAACCACATAACGTGGGTTCTATTCTAATCTTGAGACTCCCTGTAGTTTGAATTTTATCAATTGTTTAGTTTATTTTGAGGAAAACTAATGAAAATGGTTTGAAAACTTTGAGTTTTAACGATAAGGACAAAATAAAGGACAAATTAAATAGTATCATAATTGATTTTTTAGTGTAAAAATATGGTTTTTCGTTAAAGTAATTACTACAAACACCACCACACGATATGGATAATCAACCGCGTGGTATATATAATCAGCCTACGTTTATCGTACGAGTAGAAAACAAGTTTAAAGTGCGGATAAACCTAAACCACATAACGTGGGTTTTATTCTCATCTTGAGACTCCCTGCAGTTTGAATTTTATCAATTGTTCAGTTTATTTTAAGGAAAACAAATGAAAATGGTTTGAAAACTTTGAGTTTTAACGATAACGACAAAATAAAGGATAAAGTAAATAGTACCAGGATTGACTTTTTAGTGTAAAAATATGGTTTTTCGTTAAAGTAAACAGTACCTGGAGCTTTTCATGAAAATTCCCTTTATTTTAATCTAATTTCCATATCATATTTTACTGAAAACTACAAATTTTCAAATTAAACCCTTTAACTAGCATGCGTAAGCAATTTTTAAAAATATTATTTGGAAACAACTGCTCAGTTGTTAGACTAGTTTTAATTAATTTGAAATTATCTCCGTAATTGTAGCATGTATTATAAGAATATATGATAATTTTTATTAGTATAAGATTCCTACTAAATAGGGATTAATATAACCCATATATATTGAAATATTTTTTAAACATCAATGCAAGAAGTCATAATTCTACCTGATATCATTTGTCTAGGTTTTCATTCTCGTTGATCCGGGTTTTCTTTCTTCTCTCCCCGTTCAATACAGTACATCAACAAAACAAAAAAACAGAAACCCATCAAAATTGTTTATTTTCGTTCCCCATTTAAGGTCTACATCAAACTTCCAGAGTATTCTACGGTCGCTCCATCATCAATCCCTGCGTCTCTCAACCATCCATTACCCTTTTCATTTCTTCTTGTTTTCTGTGTCTCCTCCAAACGAAGCCTTCCCTTATTCGAAGCTTTCCCTTTTGCCCCTTGGTTGCTTCAAAGTTCCGCTTTTGTTTTTCATTTTTTATGGCATCCCCTCTACCTTTAGTCCAAACAGCATGCAGTCATGGCCCTTCCACAACATTCAGCATGGTCCATCAACATGCAGTCGTGGCCCAGCAGCAGCAGCAGCAGCTCACATGGCTTGGGCACCCATATGAGAATGTGAGGACAAAATCTCATATCGATGAGGACCAAACTTTACAAGAGTTTATAAAATTTTAGACTACTCCTTATATTGTCAATTGATTTTATAATAGAATCTTAACTTCTTCAACCTAAACCTGCTATTGTTGGCCTATTAGGCCCTCCATGGTGTTATCCATGTTATACCTCTCAACACACTCATGCCACATGTCCTCACGCGCCCCATGGTCCCGATACTGCTCATCTCCTTGCCGAAGTCCAATTTACTCTTCCGTCTAATCCAAAATATTACTTCGATACCAATGCCACTCACCACATGACCGGCCAATCCTCTACACTTTCTGCTCCCCAACCATATACCGGTTCCAAAATGTTAAGTTGGGCAATGGTGATTCGATGATTATACCCATACTGATACAATTCCTCTAACTCTTGGTCCTACTAAATTCCATCTTCTTAATGTTTTTCTCATTCCTGAACTTCGCAAAAATCTTCTTTCTGTTGTTCGTTTTAATCAAGAAAATCTAATCTTTTTCGTATTTGCTCCTAACTCGTATCAATTCTACACCAGTATTTACGCTGAACATAACCAAACTCATGCACTTCATAGAACATAACCGAACCACAATCCCAAATTTGTTCACGTTTTACACACAACCTGAAGTGCAGTTAATAGAACCACCACGAGGTGGTTTAGTGGTTAAGGTTGAATTCCAGACCCGTACTTCATATAACACATTATGGGTTCGATTTCTGACTCTGATGAATCATATGATGGTGGTAAGGGGGAGTCTAAAATGGTTGTGTGAGTCTTCCCCAACCCAAAGAAGTAGACTGTCATGAAAAAGCCACCAGCTAAACTGCTTTTATTTTTATTTTTTTAAAGGGTGCAGCTAATAGAAAGACATTTCAATTAAACAATTGTAGTTCATACTTTCGCTGATCGTATGAACCAATACTTGATAAGTTTCTTGCTTACTAACACATAATAAAGAAGTGCGTCCCAAGTTGAAAAGTTTGGTAATTTAATTATACTCATAAAACTCATAAATTCAAGGCATATTTGTCGATTTGCCACTTGAACTAGTATTTAGCTGCCAATTTCCCATTTGAACTTTAATTTTAGCCAATTACTCCCTTGAACTTTTTAATTAGCTAATTTTCCCCTTAAACTCTAATTTTAATCGATTACCCCCTGAACTTTTATAAATAGCCACTTTTCCCCCTTCACGTTAGATTTCAAAAAAATTCATCCAATTTTCCATCCATCTTGATCACAAAAACAACACGTAACAACTGTATGAGGGGGGAAAAAAGAATGAAAAACTGAATGAAATTTTTTAAAATCTAATGCCAAGGGGGGAATTGCCTATTTATAAAAGTTCAGAAGTAATCGGCTAAAATTAAAGTTCAAACGGAAAATGACAACTACATACATGTTCAGGGGGCAAATAAACAAATACCTCTAAATTCAATGATGAAAACAACCCAAATTCATCAATCATACATTTAGACTAATAAACATAACATTCAAACAAGGAGTAAGTAAAAATTTGACCTATAATAACAAGAAAGGCACATAATTGGGTTGGGCCAACCTAAATCCACCAATGCCCAATTTGATTTCAAACATAACGGAACATGTTACAATGACTAAAAACTTGTCCAAACCCAACCTAACCTCACAATCATTTATTGGGTTGAGTTGGGTCAATGCCTTGTCTTGGCATGTCAACTCAAACCCAACTCCATTTCTAGTCCGCATTCGATTATGTACATATTACGCACCTCACTTCATAATATATAATATATATATATATATATATATAAGCTACATATAAGTTTTGTGATGATTATACTTGAAGTTTGTTGTTGGTTTGGGAATTGTTATTAGCACTCCAAAAATCTCATTCTACACTCCTCACAAGTGTTTTTTTCTTTCTAATTATAGAAAGTTTGGAGTGCCAAATGAGATTTTTGGAGTGCTAATAACAATTCCCGTTGGTTTTCATATAGATAATGAATGATATTGTTGCATTTAAATTTTTTTTTTTGGTTAAAACTTTGGCATTCTCTAATATTTTAATTTCAACTTTGCACGGTTTAAAGTATCCCCTTGCTATTTGGTTTTCTTTTGTGAAAACGGTGATGTGTACAATGAAATTTTAGCTAGTATTGTCATTATTTGGAAAAAAAAATTGAAAAATCTTGCAAAATAAGATATTACAACATTGCATTGGATAGAGTTAGGCAAACCTGAACTCAGTCCGCACAAGCCTAAACCTTATTGAAACCTAAACCCAAATGAACCCAAACCCAACTCAAATTGAATTGTAAATGTTGGGTTTGGGTGTGGTTGAACACCCAATCTGTCCAATTACACCCCTAATTACGATTCTAAAGATATAAGTGCCTCTCTTTGCGTGCATGTTAATTGTCAAAAAATTTCAAGATACAACCCTTTGAACACAAGATATCTAATCTGCTAAGCAAGATTACGAATTTACGATAGCATGCGTGTGAAAGTGGGTAGGAAAGGACAATCCGAGATTTAGATGAAGTAATGTAGTTCAACTATTATTATTTTAAATGATAACAAGAAGAATCGTATCTGTTCAATTTAATGAGAAGTTTGCTTTGTTTTCCCTTTTCTTAGCAAGACAATGTTCATATATTAAGAACAAAATTTCAGATACATTCATGTATATAGACTTTCGAGTCGTCTAACCGGGATCAAAAGTGAATGTGAACTCATAAAAATTCAAGAGAGATTTTTGTGCATTATGTCTTTCCCTTAAAAGTTCCTGTTCAAATTTTGAATTGACAAAGTGATATTCAAAGTAAACGTGAGCGACAAGTTTAGTTCGCAACTATTCCTGCCTGCCCATTTCCATAAATTCTACGATCTTAATCAATTGACGCGTTTCAAGGGAGCCTAGAAAGAGATGAACTAGTCAATCCTTGGCCAAATTTCATTAGGTCTGCCATAGCATCCTGACCAAACTTAACGTCGCCAAAATAAATAAGGGAGTTTTAACGGAAAGTTCGCGGTACTGTTTATTTTAATTAAAAATCATATTTTTATACTAAAAAGTCAAATCCGATACTATTCATTTTATCCTTTATTTTATTCTTATTGTTAAAACTTAAAATTTTCAAGCATTTTCATTAATTTTCCTAATAAATAATTTTCTGCAATTTTCACAACAAAAACGAAGAAAGAAAGAAGCAAATAAATGGCATGGCACACTTGAAAAAATGGTCAAACAAAACCGCTCCCCAAAAAAAACTATAAATACACACACCCAAGACCTAATTCATGGATCAGAAAACCATCAAACACCTTCACAGAAAAATATATATATAAAGAAAAAGTAATGAAGTTGCAAGTTCTCATTCTTTTGTCCCTAACTTTGTTGCTAGGAATCTCAGCAGAGCAATGTGGGAGCCAAGCCGGTGGCGCCGTGTGTCCAAATGGGTTGTGCTGTAGCCAGTATGGGTGGTGCGGCACCACATCTGATTACTGCGCCACTGGTTGCCAAAGCCAATGTGGCTCAACCCCTAATCCTACTCCAACCCCTAATCCTACTCCAACCCCAACCCCAAGTGGTGGTGGTGGTGGTGATATCAGCAGCCTCATTAGCTCGTCGGTTTTCGACCAAATGCTGAAGTATCGAAATGATCCACGCTGCCAGAGTAATGGGTTTTACACATATGATGCTTTCGTTGCAGCTGCTCGGTCTTTTAATGGGTTTGGCACAACTGGAGATGATGCTACTCGCAAAAGAGAGCTTGCGGCTTTCTTGGGACAAACCTCTCATGAGACTACTGGTCAGTACTCAACCTTGGTCATGTTTATTTTTTTGTTTGTTTAGGTTTGGTGTTTAATTAACAATAAAGCTGGTCTAATCATTTTGACTGACGCATCACATTGACTGATCGTCTCTCTCATAGGTTTTTAGATCATGGGGCGAAATTTGAAAATCAATTGAAAATATGACTTTATTAATTCTTATTATATTCAAGGAAGTTCCACACTACCTTAATCATGTCTACCACAAATCCCCCATCATATGGTCGTTGAATTAAAGTTAGTATTTTATTGTTGAACTACATTCGTCAATTTTCTTCATTACGAATTAATGTTTTAATGATTTTGGATTTATCTAATTTTTTTGTAAGAATGTTCTATAAATGATGTATAAAATTGTAGACAGATGGAATCGTAGAAATACTTTACAAAATATGTCCTAACATATAAGTGTCAAAATATTATTAAAAGCGTGTATCCTTGTATTCTAACACATTATTTAATTATGTAGGAGGATGGGAAAGTGCACCAGATGGTCCATATGCATGGGGATATTGCTTTGTCAATGAAATAAACCAAGATGTGTATTGTTCTTCCAACCAATATCCATGCGCTGCTGGCAAGAAATATTACGGCAGAGGACCCATCCAACTCACCCAGTAAGTCTATCTTATTTTTCAACTTGAAAGCATTAATATTCACCAACTTGGCAAAAGATCTGGAAATGTACTCATTATCGCTTATATTTATGTTATAATTCGGGTGAATGTCGAGTTGATAAACAAAAGCACTCCTTATTTAATGTATGAGTTATAATACAATGTTACAGTATTACAGTCATATCGAAAAATTTGTAATAAATATAGTCTGTTGAATTGTTGACTTTGACTATTGAAGACTGACTTGTTTTTCAACTTCTTTGACTTTTCTAGCAACTACAACTATGGTCAAGCGGGTCCAGCAATCGGAAAGGATTTGATAAACAACCCAGATCTAGTGGCCACAGACCCGGTTGTGTCATTCAGGACAGCTATATGGTTTTGGATGACTCCACAGAGCAACAAGCCATCAAGCCATGATGTCATCACTGGTACGTGGAGCCCATCTAGTGCAGACACATCAGCGGGTAGAGTTCCCGGGTATGGAGTGATCACCAACATCATCAATGGAGGGCTTGAATGTGGCAAGGGTCAGGATGCTAAGGTTGCTAGTCGGATCGGGTTCTACAGAAGGTACTGTGAGATTTTGGGAGTGAGTCCGGGGGACAACTTGGATTGTTACAATCAAAGGCCTTTTGCCTAAGAAAATGACTATAATCCCATGTACCAAATAAAATGCAATAATAATCCTATGTAATAGGAAATTTCTTGTTTCTATTTTCATAGAAAAAGCTCCCTAAGTTATTGGTTTTATTGCGACATTGTGAAGAAGAGAATCAAGCTCAAAAACTTAGTTCTTGTTGCAAAAGTGAATCACTTAACCTTATACTACTATTAAGAAATTCTCTAAATTTGTGTATATATACGAATAATGTCTAAATATTGTTTGTTTAATTCAATAACTCTTGTTCATAAACTTTGATTCGAAAGATTAACTCCGATAAATTTAGAAGCAAAATTAGATAGTGACTCCTCTAAGCTATAGTTCATCCCATCTTTGGAAAGTTTAGCCTTTTCTACGTACGCAAAAATTCCACTCCAACAAGATAAAAAAAATGGTCGACACCTATTTGGATTCCTGGTCTTGCCCTTGAGCTAGTGAAGACCGAGCACTATTATGCCAGTTACCAAATAATAACTAACAAAAAAACTTTACCAGATAATAATTTACAAATATTAAATCACCTTCATAACCTACCACTTCAGAGATTATGTGCACAAAACCACAAACAAAAGTAGCAAGGAAATACTCTTTGAATAAAAGTAGCGCCGACTCTGAAAAAGGAACTCAAAAGAAACAAAAAGTGTAGTGATCTTGGTTTTGTCACTCTCTAAATGCGAAATTTTTTAATCAATCTATAATCCGAAGCATCACGTGACATAGTGTCTGTTACATTAGAGATGGACACTTTGGGCACTCTTTTAATAATATTGACAATGAGGATGTTGTTATTAATAGTTAGCACATGTATGATTGTGTAAATCCCAAGTAGATAGAGTTCAGGATTACTCTTTATACAAGTGATTCTTTCCTATTAGATTTTGTATTACTTAGAGAGTAAGTTTCTCTCTCATGTTTTACTATAAATGAAGGTGCTGGCGTAGGGATATACATCCTACAATTTTCCTATGCCTTATTCTCTCCACTCTCTCTACTGCCGCGCCCTCTCTCTCCCTTTAATAGAATTGGCCCCCACACGTTATCAACACGTTCTTAACATTACGCTAAGGAATCTGAAGGGTATTTTTTGTTACAAACCAATTCACATTTATATTCACGCAATCTAGATTGTTCTAAAATATGGTCTTAATTATCGATATTTTTCAACTTCGATTACATAAAACATTCACCATAATACTTAAACCCAACTTTTACACGTTACAAATTAAAGATTATGCTTAAATTGTATTCACATTATTTTCCGCATTTGTATTGAGAATTGATGATTGTGAAAGAAGGAAAGGAAAAAAAAAATGAAAACTAATGAAAATAACTTGAAAACTTTGAGTTTTAATGATAAGGACAAAATAAATGGTAAAGTGAATAGTACCAAGATTAACTTTTTAGTGTAAAAATATGATTTTTCGTTAAAGTAAAGGTTTTTCATTAAAACTCCAAAAAAAAAAACATAAATTAGTTTTTTTTAAAAAAAAACCCGAGTGAGCCACCAGCGCGCCAGGCCTGCAGCCTGTGCAGCTGAGCCGAGCCACCGAGCCCTAGAGCTAAACTGATCCGCCAAAGCCTTCAAAACGACGTCGTTTTGGCATCGTCCATGTCCCTGGACATGGGCAACCATGGACCTCGCCCAAAGTTGAGCCCAGCCGTCATGGATCACCAGTTTCTGGTGATAACTCGCCAACCCTGATGACCCGGAGTCATTCCCAACGTGGATTGTAGAGATTTGCGCCGAAACGCCGAAATCTCGCCGGATTTTCGAACTTCGATTTCGAAAATCCACGGGTTTTGGATTTTAACGTCGATGAATTTTTCCTCTGTCTCGACCATTGAGTTCCAGTCGAAGCCACGACCCCCCTTGGCATAAGGTCACTGCTGCCTGCTGCTACGCCACCATTTTTCGTGACACCGACACTCAGCCTTGTTGGGTTAATCTTCAGCCCACCCGAGAAACCTTTAGGCCTTCTCTCGCTCGGCCTATATCCAAAAGCCTCTGGGCTTCCTTCTTGGATCGCTTGCAGTAGCCCAGCCTAAATGGGCCAGACCTCCCATTTTTCTCTGATGTCTTTGTTCATTCCAGTCCCCACCCCAGTTTTTTGGGCATGGGAAGTTCTACTTCTGTCTTCAGCCCATATGGGCTTGGTCCTTACTGAGCCAAAATTAAATTGACTAATTTTTGGGCTTTGGGCTTCCTGCCCGTGTGTTTTTCTCTACTAGCATGCAAACCAACAACAATCACCTCCTTCGTCTAGTCGAAGCCCGAATAATTCATCATTGAGAAAATGTTTACTGGACACAATTTTGCCCATATAAACATTCTCCAACTTGTCTCATGCTTACTTAGTTATCATATTTTCTATGATGTAAGGCCTGACTAATTTCGTGAGGTGGATCTAGGAGCTCTTGGCCTTCTTGAGAACCTTGGTCCATGCCTCTGCTATCATGATCATAGGCTTCTCACCAACGAGTACATCATCCAAATCCTGTTGTATCAGTACATGATTCATCATCCTTTGCCAATTCGTGAAGGCATCCTTGCCGTCAAAAGGTTTTAACTCAACCCTAAGTCTGTAGTCGTCTTTCCTTTTGACATCGTATAACACCTTGAACTAAGGTACCGTTTGGTACGTGGGACGGGACGGAACAGAGTGGGACAAGGCGTTCCGTCCCACGTTTGGTGCGCCTAAAACAGGTGGAACGAGCTGTTCCACGGGACGAGTTTTGGATGAATTTTCGTTCCACCTCACCCCCCTGGAACGACTCGTTCCACATCCCTGGAACACAAAATTATAACCTCTCCGTCTCCTTCTTCTTCCTCCTTGTTTCCATCCGAGGGCATCTTTGCTCCCGCTCCGTTCCGTTCCGTCCTGTCCTGTCCCGTCCCGTCCCGTCTCGTCCCATTCCGTTCCGTCCCGTCCCGTCTGCATACCAAACGATACCTAAGCTCTCGATAACAATTGTTATAATCCGAATCCCTCTTGATCTTACTCCTTGATGTATTCGGCAATAGACTAAATTTTGAAAGATAGAGAGAACTAGAAAGACACAAGATTTATATTGATTCAGCAAAACTTTTGCCTATGTCCAGTTATGATTTCCTTGGGTAGAGAAACTATGGTTTCTTTGATTAATAATAGAGTTACAGTCCTTTTGCACACCCTAAACTAAGGCAGTCGTCTCTCTTTTTTCCAGCTGCTGTCTTTGACTATTTTCACACTTTTCCTAGCCTTACTGCACCCTATTTATAAGTATAGGATGTGGTTTACATGCATATTTTCTAATTAAGATTCCTATTCTATATAGAATAGGAAAGTACACTTTCTTTTCTTTTCCAAGATATGTTCTAGGATTCCCAATTTAATTGTACAACGAAACTTTGATTCATTTGTAGATCTTTTAGGAGAAGCATCGGTGCACCTTTAATTTACCTAATACAATCCTAAATAGAATATGTTGATGCACAAAATTAGTGAGACTTTGGAACAACGTAAAGTTCAAGTTGGTGATCTTCGCTCGGTTGCTCTCTGGTCACCTAGTGATGATAATATGTAAAGAGATAGAGATAGGGAAACAAACACAAGATGTACGTGGTTCACTCTAAGTTTGGCTACGTCCACGGGGCAGAGGAGTTCTCATTAATTTACACAATACATAGGTTTAAGCATAATCATCATTAGTGGGTTCTAATGATGAGTTTAAGTACAATAATAACATTCGGGATTAATTGTTTACTACCAAAGAAATACTAAATACAACCAATACTAACACTACCAAAGATATACTTTGATGATGAATCAAATTGTTTACTATTTATAAACGAGTGTTGTTATTCCCATCCAGTGTCCTATCTCTCCACCCATTGTTACTGCTTTTTTTTAATTACAAGTTTGTTCATCTGTAAAATGACCGCTAAAAACCTTAAAAGATATTGTAATAACAATAGGTTGTGCACAAAAAGGTAACAGGAGCCCTAAATTTGCATTGGGTTGTAAAAAGAATGTAAGCCGACTTTGCAAAAAGACATAAATGATGAGGATAAAAAGAATTCTTTAACAAAAAAGTGTGGATGCCCTTTCCAATTAAAGGGTAATAATCTAGCAAATGATGATGATTAAATATTGATGGTAGTTATTAGAGTGCATAATCACACATCAACAGAACAATTAAAGGGTCACTCATTTACTGGTAGATTATTGTCGGATGAGACTTCAATGTTGAGAAATAGCATTTCAATTTTTTAGGAATAATAGTAGGTGATGAAATAGCACATTGGAGATTACTTTAAGAATAATAGTAGGTGTGGAAATAACATTTTAAATTTTTAACTTTTTATGATGGTGGGATTATAATGTGGGTGGGGAAATAAGACATTGGGGCGAATCTATTAAGCTTTCTTATAAACTCATATAAAGTATCCAATATTTTCGGTGCCCCTAATTTTTTTAGGCTCCAGATGGTCGTCTTGTTTCCACTTGGCCAGAACCTACTCTGACCTCCCATCAATGTGGAATTCGAAAAAATGCATTCTATCTCGTATTCAACTAAATGGTCTTGTGAGATTCACTAAAAGGTTAATCCAAAGTGAGAAAAATTGGTACAGGACCAAAATTTTCTAACCGATCCACTAAAAGGTTAAATCCAAAGTTGATTGAAACTAATTGGTAAAAACCAAAATTTTCTAACCCTCACTTTGGATCAATAACGCTATCCCATGACCAAGACTAGCTTTTTACTCAGCTCAAAGCATATATGATCACCAATAAAGATGAAAATTACCAATACTAACGTTTACTCACACTATGACGAAACTAATCATTTTGTAAGTTTGTTTATTTCAAATAGTTAAGATTGTCCCACCTAAAATTGATATTCGCTTTGATCTTTCCTTTTCATTTAGCAAGACCGAAGTGTGACATATTTTCAACAAAATTCCGGATACATTGAGTCAATTTACATATTTTCCTTCGCAATGATATTCAGAAATTTATTTTTCTTAAAGGGTTTGCTAGCAGATTAATTAAATAGAAGTTTATTATTTACGTTCATCTCAATTTCTATAGACTAGCTAGCCTTTTGATTGAATCGTCACAAATCTAAATATTTTGAGTTGTTATTGTTATTTTAAGAAGGTAATCATAAACTTTCTTTTTCAAAATACAGTTGAAAGACTTTAGTACATGATGTCTTTCCCTAGAGTTCCTGTTCAATATTTTGAATCGACGAAGTGAGATTCAAAGTAAACCTGAGCTTCAATTAGGTCGGCACAATTACTCCCCTTTTCCTTAATTCTGTGATCTTTTATCTATTGACGTGTTTTCGGGGGAACTAGATATATATGAGATGAACTAGTCAATCAGTAACTATACATATTTAGCTCTCCTTTTGCATATCCTCCCAAAATTCAACGTCACTAAATATAAACATTTTTTTTTGCAATTTCCACAAAAAACAAAACCAGCTAGAAAAGCGCGTAAAATGGGGCACTTGATCTTCAAGAAGAAACTTGTACCCACAACCCAAATTGAGCAAAAAGTCAAACAAAACCGCTTCACAAAACACTATATATACTCACATACCCCAAAACCCAGTTCATAGATCAGAAAAACCATCAAACACTTTCACGGAAAAGAAAAAAAATGAAGTTGCAAACCCTTATCCTGTTGTCCCTAAGTTTGCTGATTGGGATCTCAGCAGAGCAATGTGGGAGGCAAGCTGGTGGTGTCGTGTGCCCAAATGGGCTGTGTTGTAGCCAGCATGGGTGGTGCGGCACCACATCTGACTACTGCGCTGCCGGTTGCCAGAGCCAATGTGGCTCAACCCCTAACCCTACTCCAACCCCAACCCCAAGTGGCGGTGGTGATATTAGCAGCCTCGTTAGCTCGTCTGTTTTTGATCAAATGCTTAAGTATCGAAACGATGGGAGGTGCCCTAGTAATGGGTTTTACAAGTATGATGCTTTCATTGCTGCTGCTCGGTCTTTTAATGGGTTTGGCACAACTGGTGATGTTGCTACTCGCAAAAAAGAGCTTGCTGCATTCTTGGCTCAAACCTCTCATGAGACTACTGGTGAGTACTAAACTAATGGTCATGTTTTCTTGTTTAGATTTCTGTGTTTAAACTGTCATGAGATCATAAAAACTAGTTTAGTCACGATCGTCTCTGTAGTAAGAGTGTTACTAAATAACCAAGTTAGTTAGGTCAGTGTATTTCTGTATCTGCATTCAAGTTCGAATCTCTTTTTGGGTAATTTAAAGGAATTTAGTATATATCGCTTATAAAAAAATTGGAAAATTATTTTGATGGTTATAACATACGAATTCTTTATTTTTAGTATAGAACATTACTATACATGATCATTATTTTGTTCTTAATCATCAATTTAATTATGTAGGAGGATGGGCAAGTGCACCAGATGGTCCTTATGCATGGGGATATTGCTTTGTCAATGAAAGAAACCAAGATGTGTATTGCACACCATCCAGTCAATATCCATGTGCTGCTGGCAAGAAATACTATGGCAGAGGACCCATCCAACTTACCCAGTAAGTCTCTCTTATCTTTCAACATCAAAGTATTCACCAACATGGTAGTTGGTCAAGAAAAGTAATCGGGTGTAACCGTAAAATTATTTAGTAGTGTTTCTAATATATGTAATATATGAATAGGGGTGAACAAGTTTATGTTTTAATTAGTGTACTAAATTGATTTTTGCACGCCACATTTTTCACATATTTTTTTTATTTTTAATATTTAAATTAAATAAATCAAATAAATAAATAATAAAGCGTTAATATTCAAACAAATAAGTGCATAAAGAAAAAAACATGAGTGTAAAAAGCCATTATCTTTCAAGAATATATAGGTTTACTAAATAACAAAGATGAAATATAACACCATGTTGACAGTTGAGGGGAGATTGACATGTTTTTCAACTTGTTTGACTTTTCCAGCAACTACAACTATGGTCAAGCGGGTAAGGCAATTGGAAAGGATCTGATAAACAACCCGGATCTAGTGGCCACAGATCCGGTTGTATCATTCAAGACAGCTATATGGTTCTGGATGACTCCACAGGGAAACAAGCCATCAAGCCATGATGTCATCACTGGTAGGTGGAGTCCATCTACTGCAGACAGATCAGCGGGTCGGGTTCCCGGGTATGGAGTGATCACCAACATCATCAACGGAGGGGTTGAATGCGGGAAGGGTCAGGATGCTAGGGTTGCTAGTCGCATCGGGTTCTACAGAAGGTACTGTCAGATATTGGGAGTGAATCCGGGGGACAACTTGGATTGTTACAATCAAAGGCCTTTTGCCTAAAAAAAATATTGCTCAATTAAAGTTTAGTCTTGGAGATATTGTTCAATAGACAATAATCCCACCCTATGTACTAAATAAAATTCAATAATCCTACGTAATAAAGAAATTTCTCGTTTACCCTTTAAGTTATTAGTTTTAATTGCGATATAAAGATGAGAGAATCGAACACGAGAACTTAGTTGTTGTTGTTGTTGCGATGGTAAATCATTTAGTATTATACTACCACTAAGAAACTTGCTTTATTTATAAAGTTATAGGCAAAATCATGTACGCCTTGTTTATAAAGTTACAGTTGATGGTATCTTGCAATTACCTTAAGGAAAATTTTATTTGAACCCAACTCCTATTTTCACACCCAACTTTAATATTGTTGCACCTAAACTCTCAATTTTACCCTTACAAAAACTGAAAGGGAAAAAAAAAAAAAGATTAAAACCCGAACAACATTGTTTTCGACAATACTCTGCCAGATGTAGTCAAATAGGATCAAATCTCGCCTGGTGTTTTTGGCCACAACGATGGGGGCTAGAACTGCCACTTTAGACCAAACCTTGGCGGTGATGGAGCGTGCCGGTAATGAGGTGGAACTAAGCGTCGTCGTTGGCAAACGTCATGAACAACTTGTCGTTGAAGAAGTTAAAGACGTAATAGGATGTGTAGGTGTCGGGATTAGGTCCGACGTAACTTTTGTTAGGGGAGAGGTAGCGAAGATAAAATTGAGAGGGAGGCACATGGTGGTGGCGCTATGTCTGGTGATGGATGGGTTTCAACCGTTAGGTTGAAAATAGGTGTAGAAAGATTATTTTGCATAAAGGTAAAATGGGAATTATGAAGAATAATTTTTGTCAATGGGTGTAGAAATATAATTTTTGTTAATAGCCAGCCCCACTTAGTGAGAAAATGTTTTGTTGTTGTTTTTGTGGTGTAAAAAGATAATTTTTGGGTCTAATTAAAACTACTCTTACCTTAAATTCTTTTTGACTAAATAGAAATAAGCACTAGTGGGAGAGGACATAAATTGACAGGCATAATTGACAGAAAAAGCAATGTTTGACCTTGTAAAAGCAAGACATTGTAAAGCTCATAGTAAGCTCCTAAACATTGTGGACTTAGTCAATGGAGTACCTTCATCCTTAAGTAATTGTGTGTGAGATTTACAAGGAGTAAGACATGATTTACAAGATTCCTTTCCAGCCTTTTTTCAACAAATGGTCCATAAACTTTGATTGAGAAATGAAGAAATCACTAGTGTTGTCTTAGAGCTCGTTTTGCTTTTGAAATGATTGAAAGTGTTTTTGGTGAAAATATTTTTAGAACGAATCATTAGTAAAGATGCAAGTAAATCCTGAAAAAGCACATAACTGGTGCTTTTTGCAAAAAGCACTTAAAGTGCTTTTGAAATCCAAAAATATTTTCTCTAAAAGCGCTTTCATTCATTTTAAAAGCATATCCAAACGAGTCCTTATTTAAATGTTATTGTTGATGTGAACTTTTTGACGTATTGTGGAGCCAAAAATAGTCCCATAATTCCTGGAGGCGACACGTGGACTTTCAGCGAAAAAAGACAAGACAGCTGTTGTTAAATAAGCAAGGCATCCCATGCGCAACTCAGCATTGGAAAATGTCAAAGGTACTTAATGATAGGATTATCCCTAAATCCTATCATTAATATACTCTCAATTGAAGACAAACTATATCAACTAAGTAATCTCAATTATATTTAATTCGGGATAATTACCTTTAATTCCAAGATATTATTTACATAATATAATAGTCTGACCAAATCCTACCTTAATGGACAGTACCCCATTTCTCCACAAAAAATGGGTCTTTTCTATATACAGAAAACTCTAAACACTCACTCTTTTCAGGGAGACTAACTTAGGCATTAGGGATCTATTGGCCAAAATCCCCTCCCCCCCCCCCCCCAAAAAAAAAAACTCATCGTGGTCACGTGAGACTTTTAGTCTTTGATCAAAGGTGTTGATTGTTTTTCAAGTGCATTTTCGTCAAGAATGAAGACAACGAAATTTGCATCGACACAGATCATTTGAAGATGCTCTTATGCTACTAATGAAGATGCTCTTATGCTACTTATCATATAATGTTAGAGGTTTTTTTTTTTCATATTTATTTTAGAATTTTAAATATTTTCTTATAAGTCTTATTTTTTGCACATGTCCGCCCTTAATGAAAATGTTCATAACAAAATTTATATAAAGTGGGTCGGAAAATTGAATGAATAGGTGAGAATAATAACATTCTATCTTAATATCTAAATATCAAAACTGTTACTCTTATCCTATTTTTATACCATATTTGTACTCTTATTTAATAGAGATAGGACACACTCGTGTTGATGGGCCCTACCTTTATTAGCGAGGTAGTACAAATATAATATAAAAAATATAGTAATTGCAGAATTATTCCTAAATATTCATCATTGAGAACTGAGAATTAATATGGTCTTAAACTGTAACTAAGGTTCCTAACATGTGAAAATATAACGGAGATAAGCAAGAGGAAAAGTGCTTATAAAGGAAAAACAAGTGGGAGAGTGCAAAATAACTATTTTTGGGCAATAACAATTTCCTTAGTTATATGTTAAATCAATTTTGTACTAAAAAGATCAATTTTGTAATTATTATTTTTTTTTTTTTTGTTTTTAACTCATTATGTCTCGGTTCAAATTCTTTCTGATAACTATTAGTGTATATCAACTATAATAAAATAAAATAAAAATAATTTATCATTTAGAGATTGTTGTAAACATTCATAGTTTAAGTGTGATTGTGTAAATTGTGACAGTCCGTCCCGGACTTTTCGTATCGTAGGGGTGAAATGACGGTTTTGCCCCTAGTATGGTTGTTTCGTTGTGTGGTTGTTTTTGGGTTTTGTTTGGATGGTTTTGGACCACACACATACCCACACTTATTTCCCTCTCTCTCTGCCCTGTCCCGAGCCCCTCTCTCTCTCCCTTTCCTATCTTTTTGTACAAACACCACCCAAAACCCTTGAAAACTTCACAGATCGAGGAAACAAGTTACACAGTTGTGCTTGTGAGGTCCTTAGGAGTTCAACCATACCCATTTCAGGTAAGGATACCTTCGTTTTCACGTCGAACTCGGGATCCCCCGATTTGGTCACTGTTCATGCACACATTAATTCTTGTGTTTTTGGGAATTTCAAGCTTGTAGGAAGCTTGGTGAGGTCTTTAGGAGGCTTGGGGTGGTTCGTTTGAAGGTTTTGGACTTCGGGATCGTGAGTTGCAGATTTGGCTGGAGTTGGTGGTGTTTTTCCAGCGAGATTCCGTGGGTTTTAGTGCTTGAAAGTGGTATGGATTTGTTCCTCTTGTTGTAAGCTTCATTTTGGTACCAATTTTGTGAAATTTGGTTGAAAAACGAGTGACATACGAAGTTTTGAATTTTTTCTGATTTTCGGAGGTTGGCCGGAGAAGACGACGGAATATTCCGTCAGTTTGGACAGAATATTCCTAACGGCGTTAACGGAATCCGTTAGAGTTAATGGAATATTCCTGACGGCGTTACCTGACGCCGTCAGTGTGCCAGGCACGTGCCTGCGCGTGGGCGGCGCGTGTGGCCGTGCCTTGGCCGGGACGTGGGGGCCGTGCGGCGTCGAAAAATTATTTTAAAAATATGGGGTTGTTCGTGAGGTTGAGTAGATCACGTTGGTGTATTCATACACCCCATTTGAGCATTGTATGAGAAGTTATTTCGTATTGTTGGTTATGTGCTTTAAAATTTACGTTTTTATAGTTGTTTCGCATATAGGTGAGACCTATCCCGATGACGAACGCGGTCACTCGAGGCAAGGGGGTTACGACCCTTCTACATACCAGTGAGTGGGCTTTTGGTTTTTCGTATATACCTATATACTTGTGTTTTTCCCAGAAAGTGAAATGATACGTTTATACGTTTATATGCCATGCATTATGTTTGCCGTTTAATTATGCATTATTAGTTGCATATATATATATATATATATGTTTGGTGTTGCAGACGCACAGGTAAGTGTTAGGTAAGTTATGATTTATGTTTATGTTCAGTAGTGATTTGAGATGCATAGAGAGCTCATAACCTGCACCCCCCCCCCCCCCCCCGTGTTAGTGCTCCCGCCCAGAGTTGGGCACAGTCCTTCACGTGATGTCCACCTCCCGCACCACACGCTCATCTTGGATCCAAGTTAGGTGCACAGTCCTGTCGTACAGACCACTTTAGGTGGTTTCGACTCATAGGTGACCCGCGATTATTCGCCCAGTCTTCACGTGATCGTAGCACTTGAGCGTACTTATTATACACCCAGTCTTGTCGTACAGACCAATTTAGGTGGTTCCGACTTGTGTGCATGTATAGTTAGTGAGTTGGAGATTTGAGCTCTAGATTCAGCTGTACAGGTCACGTTAGGTGACTCCGGCTGACAGATTATATGGCATTGTTTGGCATTGCCTGAGTACTTGCATTTTATTTCGAGGCATTTGGCATGACATATTTCTGAGCATGATTGATATTTATGTATATATTATATTTCTGGGAAGTATACAGGTTTTACGGCGAGGGGTTAGAACTTTGTTTATGAAATGGTTTTCGAAAAGCTTGTTTTTGCCCACTCACGCTTTCTGTTTTGTGCCCCTCCAGGTTCTAGTTTGGATAGCGCTATTGGTGGCTCCCTAGAGGATTTTCCCGGCCTATCTGATAGATTATCACAAGTGTAGGACTACCTTTGGGTGTGTTTATTTAGGGTTGTTTCTCCCGGACTGCACTAGGTCTTACGTGCTCTGAACTTTGTTTCTCACACTTACACTTACACATATATGTTATTTACTTTGTGTATAACTGGTTTTTATTTACTTGTACTTTTATTATTATTTTTTTTTAGCTTCCGCACTGTGCACATGGTTATGTCACTTCCACGTGATGGTCAGCATGCCCTGATTTTGGTCGGGGTGTGTCAATATAAATCCTAGATTCGATTTGATTCTAATTATCCTTTCTTATTGTATCTTGTATTCCTTAGGGAAGAAGGAATATCTTATCTCCTTTTACTACCATAAATAAAGGTACAATGTAGGAGGGATAACAACACACATATTCCCCTACAATTCTACAAATACATCTCTCTCACTTTCTCACTCTCTCCCTTTACTTCCGGTCCTATTCCTTTTGTCAGATAAAATAGGCTACAACACGTTATCAGCATGCTCCTATTATTGTGCTTAGAAATCTGACGTTGAAGAAATTTTTTGCATCAAACCAATTCATCCATATCATCACGCAATCAGGTTCTTTCAAAACAATAGTTTTTATGTCAATATTTTTGCAGCCCTGATAGCATGAACATTCACCATGATGCATAACCCAACTTTACGTTTTATAAATTTTAAATTCTACATAAATTGTGTTTGCATCATAATCATAATTGTTGAATTATGTGAATTTGATATTTGCCATGAATTACATCAAATATATGTACATGCATTAACTTATTGAAATACAATTGCATCAAATTGAATATGCTTTTAATAGTATTGTATATGTCGATGACATAAACCTCATCGGAACTCTTGAAGAGCTGGCGAGAATTGCCGCGCACCTGAAGAAGTATTATTTGGGCTTGTTCTATCCTTATAGATCCTTGAGTTGATTCTCACCTTGTTGGTTATGCCGACGCAGAATACTTATTTGATCCGCACAAGGTGCGTTCTCAAACAGATTATGTCTTTATCGTTGGAGGTACCACAATCTCTTGGAGGTCAACTAAACAGACCTTAGTTGTTATTTCGTCTAACCATGCTGAAATTCTCGCCTTACATAAAGCAACTCAGGAATGCTTTTGGTTAAGAGCAGTAGTGGACCATATTCCAAGCTCATGCGATCTTTATCCCGGCGTTGATGTCCCGACGACGATCTTTGAAGACAATGCAATTTGCATTGAACAACTCAAGAAGAGTTACATCAAAGAAAACAACACTAAGCACATTGCGCCGAAGTTTTTCTTTTCACATCAACAACAAGAGCATCAGAAGATTGAAGTCACACAAATCCGTTCACAAGACAATATGGTTGACCTCTTGACCAAATCACTATCGAAGACGATGTTTTAGAAGCTTGTTCATGGAATTAGTATGCGTAAACTTTCTGAGTTGTAACTTTGCTATTTCTCTTTGGAATTATGTCAAACTCAGGGAGAGTATCCTGTAGATACTTGCTTGATCTTAATGTACTCTTTTTCCCTACGATACTCTTTTTCCCTACGATTATGAGCATTTTTGCCACTAGGTTTTTGCTACCTAACTAGGTTTTAACGAGGCACCCACCTTGGGCTGGTCAAATCCCTGATGACGTCATCTAGACGTTTTTTTTCACTTTGCATCTCTCACGCATTTTTCCTTAGACTATGGATTTTGTCCCTCCTTCCATAGCCTTAGGGTTTTTTAGTGAGACTTACTACTTATGCAAGTTCCTACCTTATTGAGAATAAACATTGTTTCTTAGAATTAGTGCTGATGAGTCAACTTCCTCAACTTTTGCATGATATTAAACCTACCTTGAGTATTTAGTCACTCAAGGAGGAGTGTTGTAAAAATTCCTAGTTTAACTGTGATTGTATAAATCCTAGATTAGATTTGATTCTAGTTATCCTTTTTTATTGTATCTTGTATTCCTTGGGGAAGAAGAAATATCTTCTCTCCTTTTACTACTATAAATAAAGGCACAATGTAGAAGGGATAACAACACACACATTCCCCTACAATTTTACAAACAAATCTATCTCACTCTCTCCCTCTACTACCGGCCCTATTCCATTTGTCAGATAAAATAAGCTACAACAGAGATGATATTGAAAATGTGATTTTTTTTATTTTTTTAACAAACAATATTATCATTACTAAGAAAAATGGAGTTTAGTCTCACGATGAGCGGGCAATAAAGTGATTTAAATTTGCTTTTAGAGAGAATCAAAATTAAAATATTTCACTTATAAATAAAGAGGAATACCATTGATCGTAGGGCTAAGTGGCATATTTAAATAGTGACATGAAGATGCGAAGAAAAGTATAAAGAGGAAGGTATCAAGCTTTATGTTTCCTCCATGCCTCTTTTTTTCTACGTGTTAACTTCTCTAGTAAGCTCGAGTATCCATTTTCCAACCCCAACACCCTCCCACATTTCCAACTGGGACACGTTGGCCAATCATCACCTGAGCCACACCCAACCCTCACCGCGGTGCCCACCCGTCCACCACCACCACCACCACCTCCTCCTCCTCCTCCTTTCTCCGATCTCCCCGAAAACCAGTTTCGAAATCCTAAAAACAAGTAAGTTCCCTTCTTCCTCGCTCTCTCTGATTTAACATTATCTAGCTTATTTGATATCTTCCATGAATTTATATTTTATCGCCTTTGAAATCGACGAATATTAAGTAATTTAGTTACATTCATCGTGTTTGGAAGTTTCAAATCGATTATTAAGTAATTTAGCTGCTAAACTGACTAGCTAGTAGCTAGCATGAGACTCTAGGCTCTGGCATACTTACTGACTGGTTCTCTGTAAATTTTGCTAATTTGCCTCAGAATCTGCAGCTTATCTGGCTAAATTGTTCCAGTATTAAGTTCAATAGTTAGCAAATCGAAGAAGGTTCGATGGAAATTCCAACTGCATCAACATATGATAAAAAACAAGATAAAGCTCCAATGAATTTGTGTGATAAGGGAGAAAAAAGTAATCCGTTGGAGGATCGGATTAGTCAACTGCCGGACGCGATTCTGGTTGACATCATTTCCCCGTTGAGGATTAAGGAAGTAGCAAGGACTAGTATACTCTCTAAGAGGTGGAGATATTTGTGGACACATGTTACAAGTCTCAACTTTGATCATCATGATGGTGAACATCCACGTACCTCCACAAGGACCACAACAGTTAATCGGTCAGAGAGACGTCGTCTAGAAGAAGCGACAAACAGAAGACAACGAATCCGGCAATTGCGCCAGGGTTTAACACCTTTAAACTTAGGTGAATGCAGAGGTGGTTCTTCCTCAGCGGGTTCCGGTTCAAGATCTAGGCACCCCGATGGGATTCCAAGACTAATTCGCCCACCATCACCACCACCGTGTACGGTGGTGACTAAAGTCCTGCGATCGCATCAGGGTCCAACTGTAGATGGAGTCAGAATTTGTGCATCTTGTTATAGCTCGGATAATGTCGATGATTTTATCGAATTTGCAATTCAAAAGGAAGTTCAAAGGCTTGAGATAGACAAATCGATAGAAAAAGACGCCAAGTGTTGGGAGAAGCCTTTCAACAACCCTTTTGGTGTTTCACGCATTAAGTCCCTCAGACACCTCTCTTTGAAGTACATACCTATAACTGATGAAGTTGTTGGGCTGGTTCTATCCGAATGTCAACTTCTTGAACACCTCAGTATTTGTCGCTCAAGCGATCTTTATGCTGTTAAAGCGGTTGGTTCATCACTCCGGTTGAAGTTCCTACAAATAAGTTATTGCGGTGGCATAGTCAGAGTTGATATTTCTGCCCCTAATCTTGTGTCATTTATATATCGCGGACAAAATGTGTATAGAAGAGGAATTGTTTTGAAACATGCACCCAAGCTCGTTGACGTATCTCTCTCTGAAGACGAACCTGATAGCATTACCAAACATCTTCTGTCGATATCAGCTCGACTTTCATACCTACAGACTCTCCACCTGTGGATGAATCTGAGAAGGGTTAGACTCTCAACCTGTTATTTACTTTAAAATTTTCCTAGCTTCTTGTACTTGTTGGTTGATCATTTTCAAGTCTTTGTGTTCCTGTCTTTCAGACAAATGTTGTGCTCCCACAATTTCCCGAATTAACTAGTCTGAAAGACTTGTCGTTGACTGTACATGCCAAAAATGGTGGGCAAAGTCTCCTGGATATGACTTGCTTGTTAGAGCAATCTCCCTTCTTGCAGAGATTAACATTCCAGGTAAATTCCATACATCAATTAACGTGGTTTTTAGAAGTCATATGTTGATCCTCTACTTTTCAAATATATTAACGTGGTCATCAACATTGTATTATTGATAATTCCGTTCCTCCTAGAAATCGCAAAAGCATGGATTTAAAATGATGAATTTAATGTTCATTTGGAATTTTTGAAGTTTTTATCTGTTTTTTTAATTTTTTGCATAGAGTTGAGATATGTGTTCATTGAACAACCGATTGGAAATTAAAAGCAACAGGAAAGCGTATTTTTACCATTTGTGATTTTTTTGTCATTAACGCATGAAACTTCTACTTGTTTTGAACTTTTGATACAAGCGATAGTGGGGGAGGCGAAACCAAACTCAGAGACCTTGGGTATGAGGGTGGACGCTCCTAACCAACTGAACTACAAGTCATTTTCTCAAACTTCTGTGTGTTGAAGTAACTTGTCATGAGAAGATTAATATGATTGTGGTATGCCCCTCTTGCAGATACAATGGGGACTTGTTTGCGAGGGCGTTACCAGAACCATGCAGGAGATTAAAAGATGTCCTCATCAATGCCTTAAGGAGGTGAGATTTTCTGGGTTCATTGGGATGGGTGGGTCAATTATCGATACGGAGTTTGCCATGTATCTGGTGGAAAATGCTGTGGTACTTGAAAAGTTTATCATCGAACTTGAAAAGGTCAAATTAGCTTATAGACTGCTAGAGTTTGCTACAACGGAGGAGAAATTAGAAGCAACAAAGGAGCATGCTTTGCAGCTAATTGGAACACAATTACCACCAGGAGCTGAGTTGTTTATCATATAAGTCCTTTCATTTATCTGTTTTTGCAGCATACTTGGAGCTCTCTTTAGTCTGCAACATTTGTATAATTCGCAGTTTGCAAGTTTGCAGTTACTGACCATGTAATGATTTAAGGGTATCAATGGATTAGTTTTGAGTTGTCATAAGACAATAATCCCATCCTATGTGCTAAATGAAATGCAATAATCCTATGTAATAAAGAAATTTCTCGTTTACGCTATAAGTTAGTTGTTTTAGTTGTGATATGAGGATGAGAGAATCGAACACGGAAATTTAGTTGTTGTTGTTGCAATGGTAAATCACTTAGGGTGCATTTGTTGCACCGGACTATCTCAGATTGGATTAACTTCAGGGACTAAGTTGGACTGACTTGGTTTGGACTAAGCAGGATAAAAATAATGAAGTATTTGGTGCAGTGCTGAACTAGTCCTGGATTAAAATATTTTTTTGGCTAAAAAAATTAATTTCAATTTTTTTTTTTTTTTACTTTTTTACTTCTCTCCATCTATTGCACCACTCACTCAACAAACAAATAGAAAAAAAAAAGAAACATAATTAAAAAGTGAAGGAAATGGTTGTAAATTTGTATTTCTCATTGTGGTCAAGATGAAGTGAAATGACATTAAAGAGAGACAAGAACAAACGCACCCCGGTTCTTCCTTCCTAACACACACATTCATCGCCCAACATCAAGTCATGAATATTAAGAAAGTGCAACGAAAGGTGATATACATTCATACCCCATGGATTGTCTTATCTGGATTTATTTCTCTACCATAATCTCCAAGAAGACAGTCCACAAGCTTTGGGGTGTGCTCTAAACACTGGATGGAACAATTCAAGTATTTTCAAGGTTCTGTAATCCTGTCAATCCTAAAGAACCTGATTCGCAAGAGCTTTCCCAAAATGAACGGATGAAGTTAAAATTTGCGATGGTAGAATGTTACGCGGACATCTCACCTTTTTTCCCTTCCCTGCACTTAAAGGAATCTCACAACCCATAAACTTGCAACTCCAACCGTACCTGCACAAAATCATACATAAAATTTACATATATCAGATATTGTGCACCAAAATGACACAAACCAAAATATGAGAAGACAACAAAAATAGTACTTATGTGACATCCCACATTGTCCAGGGAAGTGATCCTTATATGTATATTCTCATCCCTACCTAGCACGAGGCATTTTGGGAGCTCACTGGTTTCGGGTTCCATGGGAACTTCGAAGTTAAACGAGTAGCGCACGAGAGCACTCTCAGGATGGGTGACCCATTGGGAAGTTATCGTCTGAGTTCCTAGAAACAAAACTGTGAGGGCGTAGTCGGGACCCAAAGCAGACAATATCGTGCTACGGTGATGGAGCATCAAATTAAGATGTGTGACCTATTGGGAAGTTCTCGTCTGAGTTCCTAGAAACAAAACTGTGAGGGCATGGTCGGGACCCAAAGCGGACAATATCGTGCTACGGTGATAGAACATCAAATTAAGATGTGGAGGACAAACAAATCCCTCAATAATCAGAATCAGAATATATATTTTACATGTGAAAAATTAGAGCAAATTCAAACAATACTAAGAAAAATAAACTTTGTGGCAACTCTTCATGATCACCCAAATGACCAACTGCTAATTGATTCTATATCATTTGTGCTTGTGTCCAAGGCACATCATGTAAGTTCCCAACTACTTAATTCAACATCTCAGAAGATCGAATGCGAACAATTAACTCTGGCCGAGTTCACCATTAAGAATTTGGGATAATGCAAATATCAAATCTTATTGATGTGGATAACACTCAGTTTAGGACATACCATTAACAATTGGCATCACATATACAAAGATCATCTATTCTAATGAAGGCCAGAACTCTGTCTAACATGTACTGAACCTAAGAAGCAAATGTAGATATCTGAAGTAATCACAGCCCACGAACAACAAAGATGTCTGAACATAGCTCTTACCAAAAAAAAAAAAAAAAAAAAAAATCACATACACAAGTAACACAACCCACGAACAAACAAGTTGGAGCTAAGAGCTATGTCATAAACAGGTTGTTGAAACACAACCCAGACGAAAATCTTCAGGACTAAAGAGGGGGAAAAATAAAGCCTGAAATAATTTTAGACATTGGTTAAAACCACAAGAATTGAAAGAAGTTAATTTGTGGGTGAAACAAAAGGGCTAAAGGAATGTCAAAGGCATCATCAGTGTGCAAATAGTTCCTAATCTGCATATTTTTTGGTATTCAGAACATTTTTTAACTTATGATGAATCCAATTGAGAAATCAAACAAACAATCCAATATAAAAACCCAATTGAGAAATCAAACAAACAATTCCAGAAATCCAATTGAGAAATTAAAAAAAAAAAAAAAAAACAATCCAATATAAAAATCCACGCAATTCAGAGAAAGAAAAGCTAAAGGCCCTAAAATCCGAATAAATTGTAATTCAGGAAAGACGGATTCGGGAAGAAGACGTACGTGAACCTGAGCTTCAATTAGGTCGGCACAATTACTTCCCTTTTCCTAAATTCTGTGATCTTTTATATATTGACGTGTTTTCGGGGGAACTGGGTATATATGAGATGAACTAGTCAATCAGTAACCATACATATTTAGGTCTCCTTTTGCATATCCTCCCAAAATTCAACGTCACTAAATATAAACATTTTTTCTGCAATTTCCACAAAAAACGAAACCAGCTAGAAAAGCGCGTAAAATGGGGCACTCGATCTTCAAGCAGAAACTTGTACCCAACAACCCAAATTGAGCAATAAGTCAAAACAAAACCGCTTCACAAAACACGATATATACTCACACACCCCAAAACCCAGTTCGTAGATCAGAAAAACCATCAAACGCTGTCACGGAAAAGCGAAAAAAATGAAGTTGCAAACCCTTATCCTGTTGTCCCTAAGTTTGCTGATTGGGATCCTAGCGGAGCAATGTGGGAGGCAAGCTGGTGGTGCCGTGTGCCCAATCCCAAGTGGCGGTAATGACATCAGCAGCCTCGTTAGCTAGTCTGTTTTCGACCAAATGCTTAAGTATCGAAACGATGTGAGATGCATTAGTTATGGGTTTTACAAGTATGATGCTTTCATTGCTGCAGCTCGGTCTTTTAATGGGTTTGGCACAACTGGAGATATTGCTACTCGCATAAAAGAGCTTGTTGCTTTCTTGGCTCAAACCTCTCATGAGACAATTGGTTGGTACTAAACTTAACGGTCATGTTTTTTTGTTTAGATTTTTGTGTTTAAACTGTCATGAGATCATAAAAACTAGTTTAGCATCTTCTCTCTAGTAACAGCATTACTAAATAACCAAGTTGGTTAAGTCAACGTGTTTTTGTATCTGCATTCTAGTTCGAACATCTTTTTTATATAATTTAAAAGAATTCGTATGATATCGCGCTTGTAAAAAAATTGGACGCATCATTTTGATGGTTATAACATATGAATTCTTTAGTTTTACTATAGAGCTTTACTATACATGATCGTTATTTTTGTGCTTAATCATCAATTTAATGTAGGAGGATGGGCAAGTGCACCAGATGGTCCTTATGCGTGGGGATATTGTTTTGTCAATGATAGAAGCCAAGATGTGTATTGTACACCATCCAGCCAATATCCATGTGCCGCTGGCAAGCAATACTATGGCAGAGGACCCATCCTACTCACATTGTAAGTCTCTCTTATCCTTCAACATCGAAGTATTCACCTACTTGGTAGTCCGTCAAGAAAAACATTTAGGTATACCCGTAAAACTATTACGTGCAGTTTCTAATATACATGTAATTTAATATGAGTGAACGAGTTTGTGTTTTAATTAGCGCAGTAAATTGATTTTGCAGGCCACTTTTATTATATATATATATATATATATATTTTTTTTTTTTTCTTTCTGTTTTCAACTTTTAGACTTGAATAATCAAATGAAAAAAAAAAAGACGATATTAAAAAAAAGTGCGGAAAGAAAACGTGAGGGGAGACTGACTTGTTTGACTTTTCCAGCAATTACAACTATGGTCAAGCAGGCAAGGCAATCGGAAAGGACCTGTTAAACAACCCGGATCTAGTGGCCACAGACCCGGTTGTATCATTCAAGACAGCTATATGGTTTTGGATGACTCCACGGGGAGACATGCCATCAAGCCATGATGTCATCACTGGTAGGTGGAGTCCATCTGTTGCAGACAAATCAGCGGGTCGAGTTCCCGGGTATGGAGTGATCACCAACATCATCAACGGAGGGCTTGAATGTGGCAATGGCCAGAATTCTATGGTTGCTAGTCGGATCGGGTTCTACAAAAGGTACTGTGGGATATTGGGAGTGAGTCCGGGGGACAACTTGGATTGTTACAATCAAAGTCCTTTTGCCTAAAACAATATACGGTGAGGTTCAGTCTTGGAGATATTGTCATAAAGACAGTAATCCTGTCCTATGTACCAAACAAAATGCAATAATCCTTTGTAATAAAGAAATTTCTCGTTTACACTAAGTTATTAGTTTTAATTGCTATATGAGAATGAGAGAATCAAACAAAAGAACTTCGTTGTTGCTGTTGTTGTAATGGTAAATCACTTGATATTATACTACTACTAAGAAACTCACTTTGTTCATAAATTACAGGCGGAATCATATACGCCTTGTTTATAAAGTTACAGTTGATGGTACTTTGCAATTACCTTAAAATTCTTTTGACTAAATAGAAATGAGCATTAGTGGGAGAGGACATAAATTGACAGGCATAATTGATGGAAAAAAGCAATGTCTGGCCTTGTAAAAGTAAGACATTGTAAAGCTCTAGCTAAGCACCTAAACATTGTGGGATCAGTCAATGGAGTACCTTCATCCTTAAGTAATTGTGAATGTGAGATTTTCAAGGAGTAAGACATGGTTTACAAGATTCCTTTCCAACCTTTTTTCAACAAATCGTTCATATACTTTGACTGAGAAATGAAGATATCATTAGTGTTGTCTTAGTTTAATGTTTTGTTGATGTGAACTTTTTAACAAATTGTGGATCCCAAAATTCCTAGAGGCGACACGTGGACTTTCAGTGAAAAAATACAAGACCCTTTATTAAATGAGCATGGCATCCCACGTGCAGTTTAGCATCCTAGGACATGCACGCAACAGACCACGACTGCTCAAAGCTCCACTGCACATGAAAAATGTCAAGGGTATTTAATGATAGGATTATCCCTAAATCATATCATAACTCTATCAAGTAAGTAATCCCAATTATATTTAATTAGGGATAATTACCTTTAATTCTAATATATTGTTTACACAATATCTAGGGATATTCTCATCAAATCCGACCCTAATGGCCAACCATCTCCTCTATAAATAACCGATTTCTCCACCAAAAATGGGTAAGCTTTTTTATATGCTGAAAACCCTAAACACTCACTTTTTACGGAGACTAACTTAGGTGAGATCCATTGGCCAAAATCTAACCCAACCGCTCCCCCGCGCCCCCTTCCCCTCCCCCCCCAACCCAAAATCCCTCATTGTGGGCACATGAGGCTTTTGATCTTTGATCAAAAGTGTTGATTGTTTTGTAGGTGTATTTTCATCAAGACTGAAGACATCAGAAATTTGCATCGACACATATCTTTTTTTTTGGTTTTGGTCAAACGACATATTTTGTTAGATTACTGTGTCTTGGTTCAAATTATCTATAATGATTAGTGTATATCAACTATAACAAAATAAAATTAAAGTAATTTATTCTGTAGAAATGACATTTAAAGGGCGACTTTTTTTTTTTGAACAAACGATATTATCATCACTAAGGGAAAATGAAGCTTAGCCTCATAATAGGCTAGCAATAAAGTGGTTCAAATTTTTTTTTAGCAAGTATCAAATCTAAGATTTTTCATTTATAAATAAAGATGAATACTATTAGACCATAATATCAAATGACATATTTAAAAAGTGACGTTGAAGATACAAAGAAAATTATGAAGAGGATGGTATCTGGCGTTATGTTTCCTCCAAGTCTTTTTTTTTTTTTTTTTTCCCTACCTGTTAACTTCTCTCGTAAGCTCGAGTATCCATTTTCCAGCCCCAACACCCACCCACATTTCCGGCTATCCACGTCGGTCAATCATCACCTGCGACACTCCCATCACTCACCCCCGCCACTACCACCTCCTCCTCCTCCTCCTCCTCCTCTTTCCGATCTCCCGGAAAATCAGTTAAGAAATCCTAAGAACAAGTAAGTTCCTTTCTTCCTCGCTCTCTCCGATTTAACATTATGTAGCTTATTTCATATCATCCTTGAATTCATTTTTTTGGCCTTTGAAATCGACGAATATTAAGTAATTTAGTTACATTCATCGTTTTTGAAATCGATTATTAAGTAATTTAGCTGCTAAACTGACCAGCTAGCATGAGACTCTAGGCTCTGACATACTTACTGACTGGTTCTTTGTGAATTATGCTAATTTGCCTCAGAATTATCTGGCTAAATTGTTCCTGTATTAAGTTCAATAGTTAGCAAATGGAAGAAGGTTCGATGGAAATTCCAACTGAATCAACATATGATAAAAAAAAAGATAAAACTCCGATGAATTTGGGTGATAAGGGAGAAACAAGTAATCCGTTGGAGGATCGGATTAGTCAACTGCCGGACGCGATTCTGGTTGACATCATTTCCCCGTTGAGGATTAAGGAAGTAGCAAGGACTAGTGTCCTCTCTAAGAGGTGGAGATATTTGTGGACACATGTTACACGTCTCAACTTTGCTCATCATGTTGGTGAACATCCACGTACCTCCACAAGGACCACAACAGTTAATCCGTCAAAGAGAAGAAGTCTAAAAGAAGTGACCAGCAGAAGACAACGACTCCGGCTATTGCGCCAGGGTTTAACACCTTTAAACTTTGGCGAATTCAGAGTTGGTTCTTCCTCAGAGGGTTCCGGTTCAAGATCTAGGCACCCCGATGCGATTCCAAGACAAATTGGCCCACCATCACCACCACCGTGTATGGTGGTGACTAACGTCCTGCAATCGCATCAGGGTCCAACCGTAGATGGAATCAGAATTTGTGGGTCTTGTTATAACTCGGATCATGTTGATAATGTTATAGAATTTGCAATTCAAAAGAAAGTTCAAAGGCTTGAGATAGAGAAATCGAAAGAAAAAGACGCCAAGTTTTGGGAGAAGCCATTCAAAAACCCTTTCGGTGTTTCACGCATTAAGTCCCTTAGACACCTCTCTTTGAAGTACATAAGTATAAGCGATAAAGTTGTTGGGCTGGTTCTATCCGACTGTCAACTTCTTGAACACCTCAGTATTTATGACTCAAGCAATCTTTGTCTTGTGAAGGCAGTTGGTTCATCACTCCGGTTGAAGTTCCTACGAGTAAGTTGTTGCCGTAGCTTAGTCAGAGTTGAGATTTCTGCCCCTAATCTTGTGTCATTTATATATGACGGTCCAAATATGTATAGAAGAGGAATTGTTTTGAAACATGCACCCAAGCTTGTCAACGTATCTCTTTCAGAAGACGAACCTGCTAATATTACCAAAGATCTTCTGTCGATTACCAGAGATCTTCTGTCGATCTCAGCTCGATTTTCATATCTACAGACTCTCAACCTGTCGATGAATATGACAAGACGGGTTAGACTCTCAACCTGTTATGTACTTTAAAATTTTCCTAGCTTCTTGTACTTGTTGGCTGATCATTTTCAAGTTTTTTGTGTTCCTGTTTTTCAGACAAATGTTATGCTCCCACAATTTCCAGACTTAACTAGTCTCAAAGACTTGTCGTTGACTATACATGCCCAAAATAATGGGCAAAGTCTCCTGGATTTGACTTCCTTGTTAGAGCAATCTCCTTTCTTGCAGAGATTAACAATGAAGGTAAAAATCAATATATCTATTAGAGTGGTTTTTATCATCGCAAAGCGTCTATCACATTTTTACAAGTCATATTTTGATCCTCTACGTTTCAAATGGATTAATGTTGTCATCAACCTTGTATTACTGATAATTCCGTTGTTCACAGAAAGGGAAAGTTCGTTTCATCAGTATAGTTTGCAAGTAGAGTTTTAGAAAGGGAAGGGCCATTTCATGATTCGAGATTGTAATAAGTGAAAGTGTTCAAGTTTTTTCTTTACTGAATTAAACTTCTGCTTGTTTTGAACTTTTGATACAAGCGATAGTGGGGAGGAGAAACCAAACTTGAGACCTTGGGTATGAGGGTGGATGCTCTTAACCAACTACACTACAAGCCATTTTTCTCAAACTTTTGCTTGTTGAAGTAACTTGTCATGAGAAGATTAATATGATTGTGGTATGCCCCTCTTGCAGATACAATGGGGATCTGTTTGCAACGGTTATACGAGAAACATGCAGGAGATTAAAAGATGTCCTCATCAATGCCTTAAGGAGGTGAGATTTTCTGGGTTCGTTGGGATGGGCGGGTCAACTATCGATACGGAGTTTGCCATGTACCTGTTGGAAAATGCTGTAGTACTTGAAAAGTTTACCATAGAACTTGAAAAGGTCGAATTAGGTAGATGGCCCAATATACTGAAAAAGTTTGCTACACCGGAGGAGAAATTAGAAGCAACAAGGGAGCATGCTTTGCAGCTAATTGGAACACAACTACCACCAGGAGCGGATTTGGTTATCATATAAGCCCCCTCATTTACCTGTTTTTGCAGCATACTTGAAGCTCTTTTTAGTCTGCAACATAGTATTATTCGCAGTTTGCAAGTTTGTAATTAGCAGTTTGCAAGTATTGATCATGTAATCTATTAAGGTTATGAGCTGGGCATGATCTTGGTTTGTTGATGTCTTTTTACCCATATTTATTTTATGATCATGACATTTTGTGAAGAGTGCTAGATTTACCTACATGTCGTATTTACTTGCCCATTCTTCCTTAATAAAAATGTTTATTGCAAATTTTATATAAGGCGGGTTGGTTCGGAAAATATGATAATTGTAGTCTGCAATAGTGCATGAAATTTTTTCAATACGGTTGATATTTTCAAGAAAATATCGGAATAATCAGAGAAAATATGAAATTAGGGATAAAGTCTAAACTTCATAAGATACCAGAGGAATTCTTAAATTTCGGATTAAAATTAACAGATTTTATCAATATTTTTAACATCTCAATTAAATATTAACAAACTGCCACATGTCATTCTATAAATTTTCATTTTAAATATCTACATCTTTTAGCAAATATCCATCATTTCCATGGAAAGCCACTAGTATTATATCAATCGATATTCATTGCAGTTTACGACATGTCGTCCAAATACCAGGGCTTTAGCGCCCCCACCCCAACACGGAATCCCCAAATCTCAAACCCCTGCAAAACCCTATCCTCTTCAACCTCGCAGACCTTCCACCATCCTCGACGAGGAGCCCTAAACCCTAAATGGGGAAAATCCCACCATCTCTGCGCTCATCAGTTTCAACCTCCATCATCAAAAAGCCACAATCTATAATCCGAAACGAATCCCCATCTCACAAACCCCATCATTTTGCCAAGAAACCCGCCAGGAAAATCCCATCCCAACTTTCCGAGAAAACCCAGGAACCCACCGCCTTCCGCAACCCCTTCACCTCCCCAAACATCTCCGAAGCCAAGAGGGTCTTCACCTCCATCGTGGCCGCCACGAAATCCCCACTCGAACTCCGCGTCCACAACGCCCTGCTTCAATCCTACGCCGCAATCTCCACCGTCAACGACTCCATATCTCTCTTCAACCACATGATCAAAACCCACCCTGCGTTCTCCCCCGACAAATCGACCTACCATGTTTTGCTCTCCCAGTCCTGCAAAGCAGGGGATGAGACACTGGGGTCAGTACACCAGGTACTCAACTTTATGCTCACCAATGGCTTCAGTCCCGATAAGGTCACCACGGATATCGCTGTCCGGTCACTCTGTTCTGCCGGTAATGTTGACCTCGCTGTTGAATTGGTTAAAGAAATGGCGATGAAAAACGCAGCCCCGGACAGTTATACATACAATTTTCTGGTGAAGTGTCTCTGCAAGTCGAGATCTGTGAGTAGTGTTTATGAGTATATTGAAAGTATGAAAAGTTCTTTGAATTTGAAGCCTGATCTTGTCACTTATACTATTTTGATTGACAATGTGACGAATAGAGAGAATTTACGCGAGGCGACTAAGTTAGTGGAAATGTTAGCTGAGGAGGGATTTAAACCTGATTGCTATATTTACAATACAATTATGAAGGGTTTTTGTAAATTGAATTTGGGCAAAGAGGCAGTTGATGTTTTCAAGAAAATGAAGGAGGAGGGTGTGGAGCCTGATCTTGTAACGTATAATACTTTGATTTTTGGGTTATCGAAATGTGGAAGGATTATGGAGGCTAAGAAGTATCTGGGTGTCATGGTGGAAATGGGACATGTACCGGATGCGGTGACATACACTTCATTGATGAATGGAATGTGTCGGAAAGGGGATGTCTTGGGTGCAATGGAGTTGTTGGTGGAGATGCAAGCACTGGGGTGCCAACCGAATGTTTGCACGTATAATACGTTGCTTCATGGATTATGCAAGTCGAAACTTTTAGAGAAGGGGTTAGAATTGTATGGGCTGATGAAAGAATGTGGGATGAAGCTTGATACAGCTTCTTATGCTACACTTGTGAGGGCACTTTGTAGGGAGGGTAGGGTTGCAGATGCTTACGAAGTGTTTGATTATGCAGTTGAGAGTAAGAGTGTAACTGATGTTGCTGCTTACACGACTTTGGAGGGTACGCTGAAGTGGCTTAAGAAAGCAAGGGAGCAAGGTCTTGCTGTCTAACTGGTATTTCCTCTAATTTGTACAAGTATGTTTGCTTGGCGAATTCTAATAGTTTTTGAATGTTCTGTGATTTAATTTATCTTTGTAACTGAAGGTGCTGGTGTAATGTTATCAATTCCCATATTGGCAGAAGTGCTCTATGACATATACAAAGCTTGGATTTTGCTGTTGTTTCAGCTTGATTGCTTTCAGTGACATCTATGTTTGTTTAATGTTGATTTGAAAAGAGAGATTACACAGATTTAAAAGTGCTGTAGTGAATTGCGAGCATTCGTTTGGCAACACTCAGAATTTTTTTTTTTTCCTATGTGGTATGCCAAAGTTATTTTGATTTGTATGCTTTCTAGTTTCCTAGGTTTAGATCATTTTCAACTTGAATTAGGTTGTTAAATTGGAAATCAGAGTTTGTCATCTTGGTTTGACTGCAATCCCGACTTTGAACTCCCTTCGGTGGTGGAAATTGAAAGTGTAGAACTAGTTTAACATCAATGCTTATTTTTAGTACTTGATGTCCAAAACATAACCATGATGTTTATGTCTTTCACTACTTGTGCAATGTGTACTAAGGCTAGATATGTTCTCAAAATAAGTTTAGAAATGTGAATTGTGATTTTTCTTTTCCAATTATCATGCAAGTAAGGCCTTCACCCTACAATGTCCTGACTTGATCGAAACACTTCTTGTTATTTTGGGCCACCAGTTTCGTTACAGGGCTGTTGGAGGTTGTTTGAGTTGTCAACGGTTGTCCCTGGTGAAGCAACAAGACTGTATGTAGGACGTTAGCAATCCCGAGTCTATCTTCACCAGGCCAAACGACTCTTCTGATGAACTGGAACAATGACAAAATCCCCAACTGGAAAGCCCTGGACAGGAAGCCACGATAATTTTTCACACGTCTAGTCATTGGCTGTAAGATCTATACTAGATTTTGTGATGCTAATCATGCTACAAAGAGTTGCAATTTACAGGAAAGTTTGAGCATCCAGTGGAGCCAGAGTAAATGACGGGCATAATAATCTCCGGAAGCTGAATTCCACCATTTTTGTATTCACCATCCAGACAAACATTTTACCCTCTTGACAGATATCCTCCAACAAAGTCCCCGTGGTCGCAGACAAACTTCTCCACCGGATTTTGCATCAGACACTATCTGCTATTTGTTGTTGATGAGCTACTCCTGTGGAGCTGTAATTGTCTGCTGCTGCCCATACAAGTACAAAAATGGCCTTTCTTCTTGATTGGGTGGTTGCATAAAAAACTAGCCTATACAAATTGAGTCAAAAGGCCTTTAAGAAAGGTTATCCAAATGATATCTGTCTGTTCTGATTCGCATTAACAATTGAGTGGGATGTCATTATTCCGAATATTTCTAATTCCCTAATCCTGGATAGTGGATTGTACGTATTACTTCTCTATTCGACTTTTAACCACAAATGAACCTTGACATGGAGTACTTGGAGGTAACTAAAGACTTGGTGTAAAGTCAAGTGTAGTGTCGTTTTAGGATTCGTGCAGCTGACCCTACTTAGTGGGGTAAGAATGCATTTTTGGTTTATGTTTTTATAAGTAATTTCATCAAATAAACATGAAAATTAGTCAACAAAAACAGAACAATAAAATCAACACTTCTAATGGGAAAATCCACACAAACAACTAAATAACTCACAATACAAGACCACCAAAACCCTGAAACAAACCATCTAAATCATGTGAACTACAAGTACATGAAGTGTAGCCACCATCAAACTTACTGCATCTAACCAAGAAATAACCATGGAACACTAGATGGAGATGGGGCAAATATGGTCTCCGGCGATCCAATAGGTTGTTTATTCATTTTAATTAATGTGATAAATCTAAACTATTTAATTTACTCTAACTTACGGTAGGACAATTGTAACTTAGTTGCAAGTGGGCGGACGAACTGTCTTGACGAACTTACCTAATCATATTTGCGTCCTTCTTGTTTATTCAGTGAACACAATTAAGCAAAGGCAGAAAAGAGTGGCCTAAAAAATGCAACGAAGAGTGTAGCATTACTCTTTGTCTTTGATTTAGGGTTTGCTAGGTTTGCGTTCTTCCAACAACGATATGCAAAATGCATGTGATACAAACAATACAAGGGCCATTTTTAACTCCTGATGTTTAGGCTCTTTTGTGACACTAATTGGTAACAACCTGCCGCCCCTCCTAACCCAAATATGTTTATCTATAATCCTAATTAAAAGGTGAATTAAAATAAGTGTCAAAATGTTTCATTGTTTTTGAATTAAAAATTGGGTCTATATGGTACACAAAATGATACGGAAATCAGTAATTAATTTACTCAAAATGATACGGAAATCAATAATTAATTGATTAGATGAACCTAGCTAATTACAATTATTATTACTACCATAGCCAGCAAACCCTAGCTAGATTCTTGTATTTGAGGCGTATAGATTTATGCTTAAATCTTGTCTCAATGTTGTTGTTTTCTTTTGTTTTTAAACCTACTGATACCTTCTTTCGGTTTCTCTCCAGTGACCAGCAAAGCACTTGCCAGCCTTTCATGTTCCATAAACAATCAATCCAAATAGTTATATATGATTGAGTTCTGATTGTGGAGCAATTGTGCGGTGAATTCGAAACACGGTCATGTGACGTTATTGTTTTACTCAAATTATAATACGTGAATTTTTTTTTCCTTAATATATTTAGAAGTGTGACATATCAATTACGTCTTTCACTCTTATTATAACTCGTGAAATGATACGTCATATGATCTGTATTTTCAGTTCCATTAAAATTTGATGGAGAGAGAATGGGCAGGTGAATGATTGGGGGAGGCAAGGAGGCATACGGTTCACACGGCCTGTACATTGCTGTTTGCACATTGAGGGTCCAAAACCCTAAAAGAAATCAGACCTAAATTCATAAACTGAGTAAAAAAAAGATATGGAATTTGTGCGTTGTTAGCCAAATTTGATACAGGATCTTCAAATTGCAGGGCGATCACATGCCGACCGTACTGGGTTGGCACCAAAAAAGGACATAAATGTAATCCTCATAATTTGATGTTATATATAGAGATTTTGAGAGTTGAGGTTTTCCACTTAATTCAGGGTTTATTTCCAGTTTGTGCAAAAATATTACAGACTGTTTGCAAAAGTAAATGGCTGTTTCATTTGCATCCATAGTGCCTGTGAGGTCTATTAGCCTACCATCTAGGCTAAACCCTAAATCCCAAAAAATTGAGTCAGATTTAAACAAGTTAAAGACTTTGAAATTTTCAAGTTCTCTAGTGAGCGAGGATCTTCTGGTGGGCTTGTCTCGTATAGCAGAGTTGTACACTTGCATTGAGGAACTTGTTCTCTCTCCACTGACCCAACAAGCACTTCTCAATCAGAAGTGCAAAGCACTTGTGGAAGAAGCACTTGACGGGTCAGTTGGGTTGCTAGACTCATGTGCTAGTGCAAGAGACATTCTCTTGACAATGAAGGAACATGTTCAGAACATCCAATCAGCCTTGCGTAGGAGGACCGGAGCTTCAAGCATTGAAACCAGCGTTCATTCCTACATTTGCTTCCGAAAAAAGGCGAGGAAGAACTCTGCAAAGAGCCTCAGAGATTTGAAGAAAATGGAAACAAATCTTGGGTCATTCCATCTGTTGGATTGCGACTACAATTTACAAATAGTGCTTAAATTGTTAAGAGAATTAAGTGATGTAACAATTTCCTCATTTCAATCACTGTTCATGTTTCTATCCATGCCTGCAACCAGCGCAAAGGGTAGCAAATGGTCATTGGTGCCGAAACTAAAGGCAGCAAAATTCGCAGCCGCACAAAAAGACCAAAAGGTTTACAATGAAGTGGGAAGTGTTGATGTTGCGCTTTGCTCACTACGTGGAAATACCAGAAAGAGTGATCCCAAGACTGATGTGCAGGTGGTTCAGTGGAGACTAGACACACTTGATTGCAGCATATCTGGCCTTGAGGCTGGATTGGAAAGACTCTTCAGATGCCTATTGCAACATAGAGTGTCTCTACTTAATGTCCTTACACCTTGAAGCTCTAAGATATCTGCAGAACCAGTCATGGCATCCACATTTTACAGGATTCTACCATGTTCAATAACCATTTTGTACAATTGTTCCAAAGTTATAGAGAAATTCCAAAATTATAGAGAATTTGATACATGATATTATTCTTCTCACCTTATTTGTGTGTTTTATAAGATTTGCACTAAGTATATATGTTCTATACGAATATCATGGGGTTTCGATTCTAACATTTACAAACTCAATTTAATTACTGAGTGCAAGTAAACAATTTTGTTGAACTCAAATTATGTAAGGTTGATTAGGTTTGAGCTAATGGGATCAATTATGTAGGTATTGTGAGTTAATTGAGCAAAATTGAATTTCATTAATAGAAAATTAGATTGTCATTATAAAATGACATTTTCTTTATTTAACTCTAGTGAAATTACAGTTTGATTTAGGTCTTACATTATAAGGTACAATCATAATAAAGTACCTAACCTTGTGGCAAAAAAGAACGTAACTAACCAGAAGGACAAAAATTAGAATCTAACACTAGATGTGTTAGCATACAAAACTTATAAACTCATTCGTAAGTTAGCTATTGATCTAGCGATACCTACCTAACTAACCGAATAAGGTCCAAATTCGAATCCTCCTCTCAATTGGTGAAAAATAAAATTCAACCAACGAAATGGCACAATCAATGTACAAAAATTCACAAATTTTGATCAAAATGCAATTTGGCTCAAACTGATTGGATCTAAGAATATTATCACCAAATGTTCGCCCCCAACCTAACATGATGTATTTTCCAAAATAAAAAAACCTAAGATGATGTATCCTATAAATTTCAATGATTGAGGACTATATTTATAGACATAGGTTCATGCCACCTGTATAGAATATACTTTTTGGCATGCACTTGATCTGCCCAATAAAAACTATTTGATTCTTGCTGAATCGAGAAAACCTATGTGACTGCAAACGAGATAATCCACTATGCTATAGCATGAAGAGAAAAATGCAGCATTATTGAGAGCACATCGGCTAACCAATATAAAATTGCTAATCATGTATGCCTAACAAAATTAAGAAAATGACATCCATGCATCACGCTTATAATTTTTTGGTGTGGACATGGTCAGTCCACATGCAACTCATGAATTGATGCCGCTCTTGCTCATGGCTAGTTAATTTGGGGTTTGGCCCTTGGTGGAGTTGGTCAGGTAGTTATCCCAGTAGGTCAAATGGGGCCCAAAGGCTAGGGATTTATTTTGTTCAAGTTTTTACCCCCTCTTTGGCATGGAGAAAAGAGGATTGAATTAAATAGAGAAAAATATTATTAGACTTTCTATTTATAAATAGGAAAATGTTATTGACATTTTAAAAATTTTATTTTACACTCCTTACAAGTGTATTTTTCTTTCCAAATATAAAAAGTTTGGAGTGTAGAATGAGATTTTTGGAGTGTTAATAACAATTTTCTATAAATATAGAGAAACTCTACTTATCAAACAATCTAAACCCATAGGTCAATTAAACGAGACAAAACAAACGGACATGACGACAAAACTGATATCAACCAAAGCAAATTAAATTTTCAAGGATTGAACTTGGTCTAATACCAAGTTGAAAATTAGATTACTCTACGAATAAACGGGATTTAAAACTAGAAAAAATAATACTTTATTAATCTTGAAGAAAGAAACACTACAAGATTACCATGATGTGACTGACTTATTATTCTACGAGTTACAATGCTTACTATTTAAACTAAACATCCCCTGATCCCTAAAGGGTAAAAAAATATATATAACTTTAAAATAAATATAAAAAACAAAAAAACCCATAATCCTTAACCCACAAGAAAACCAATAAAAATAGAGAGCTACTAGACCCATCCTATTGTTTTATTTCTCTACTCACGTTATAATCTCATCCACCTTAAAAAGTTAAAAAATTAAAATGCTATTTCCCCATCCACTATTATTCCCAAAATAACCTTTAACATTTGCATACATATGAAATTATAAAACAACATATAATTTTCATAATGCATCACAGACATGGTATTTCAACTGGCTCTCGTGCCAGAGTGTTACAGATTCATTCCAAGCGTTCTAAAATGCACATGTCAATGAAACAACAAAAAAGGAAAGGATTGTTTGATTTGCTTAAAGATTTTCGTAGGTGAGTTTTGTGTTTCTCAACATATTGGCCAAATTCAAATAAGCAATAAAAATAAGGATATATTGCCCAAATCCTTCTTGTTAATCTTGAAGTCACAAGTATGCAAATTCAATTGGAACACACAGAGGTATCCAAATTCAAAAGGAAAACTTCGACAACATATATATGGTGCATCAAATGCAAACGACCTATATACAAAATTATTCTTTTACCTTTTCAATGGAAACATAATCTTCTACCTCTTTCATAGAAGCGTCATCTTCTACTTCGTCAACAAAAAAGTCATATTCTAAATCCTTTGTTTTTTCTTTCTCTAGATGAAAAGAGATGGAAAGATGAGTTAGGGTTTAAGCTAGATTGAGCGTGCAACACAACCTTTTTTTTAACGCAGAAGAGGATAATCAATGTCCTTATCTGTCATTTAAATGAACAAATTTGTAATTAAAAAATTCAATAAAAGGTGGATGGAAGGATAAAACATAGGGGGTGAGAATAACATCACTCTAAAAATAACAACAACACTAACGCTAATTTTCCCACAAAATTCTCAACTAGTCTCTCTTAAGGAATATTATCGAAGACAAACGTTATCGATATGTTTAGTATAAATGAACTGTACTATGGTTAAGTGCATATGTTTTCTAATGATTTAAGCCTAAGGACAACTCTTTGTTCGATTGGTATCGATCATTTGCGTGCATATGTGTGTAGTTTATTTCTTAATTTCCTATTAAAATCTAGCAATCAAGTGTTATCCAGCAAACTGAATTATCATAAACTGATACAATGAGTCTTTTCCATCTCTTTCGGCTTAGGATAAGCCCATTCACATGTTGTCCATTTGTCTTATTATATCCCGTGGTTGGCAAGCTGATAGGGTCAACTATCCAACTGAGCCGTTGGCCACCACATCACTTCATCGTCTGCATGACTATAAAACCTTGTGGCGTGCAATCTGTACAACTGGCCTTATGGGACGGCAAAATTATATACCCTTAAATTTCAATGGACGACGTGGACCTCCCCATGACTTCAAATTATGCATGGGATAACATTACAAATTCTGCTTATACTCAGAGAATGTACGTGACGTATGAATATTATAAACACATCTTCTGTGTAATTAATTGGTTTAGTACTAATAGCACTCTCACATGTTTCGGTAGTATATATCAACTAGCTAGATAAAGGAAGATAGAATTAAAACAGGGTTTATATAACTATAGGAGGAAGATATTTGTATATTTTAATTACTATATGTGTTAAGCAGAGAATGGGGTTAATTTATGCACATTGCAAAGACAATGAACTGTGCTTCATTAATTATGAAGAACAACAAATTATATTAATGCATGCAGAAAACTAGCTTAAGCAGACAAGAAGAATCATGTCCTCATGGATATTATATATACATATCTATATATATATATGTGTGTGTGTGTCCTCATGGATATTATATATACATATATATATATATGTATATATATGTGTGTGTGTCTGTGTGTCTGTGTGTCTGTGTGTCTGTGTGTCTGTGTGTAATTTTATATAAAATGAGCATGTGGTTTTGTCAAGTTTTGGTCTGATGTGTGAAGAATTGTAGCTTTTATCTTAATTGCGGGATTGAGATAATATATTTGTAAATTAATTTACTATTATATTTGAGGAAGAGAACTCATGATTTTTATGTACAGTAATTTGTGTATTCATTTGTTTCATGCATGATAATGTAGAGCTGAGCCAGCATCAATTTCCAATGCAGGAATGTGTTGTATCCGTATAGAAGAATAGGAGGAATATCTACTGCCTTAATGCCTCCTTGTCTCCCAACTTACACCAACATCACCATCATATATCACGATACATTATACATATATACCTAGTTCCATATATAATTCAGTGCCACACTGCATAGTGCATACTTAAAGAACGGGCAATTTGCCAATTTGAACTAAACATATATTATGATCGATTATGATTTATTCCAAGCCTCTTCAAGTATGATATGTTCATGGCCCGTAATAGCAGAGCTGGTGTCTAGCTAGTGCATGAACAGCTCAATTCATTGTGCAACATTACAAAATTAAAAAGAATACCCCTGAAGATAAACGGAGAAGTTGCCATCATTCCTCAAATTTTGATTTTAATTAGTCATGACCCTCTTGGGTTCTCAGAAGCAAAACACATGGACTCATGGGATCGGCATGCAAAATTAACGAAAGTTTGAAAACCACTGCGTCAGACCGAGACATATGCATATGAGAAAACATTTGTACGTCGGACACGGTTTTTAAAAAATAATCCATCATATTGGTTGGGACTTAAGATGGATGGAAATATCAGTGATGAACTCATCGATCATCATGTATGATGTTGGGAATGTGCAACATGAACAACAAGTGCAGCAGAATAACGTTGTAATGTTGTTCTTAATGGGCTGATGGAGACTGTACCCGACGTTCACGTTTTCAAGAATATGCAATGCATCATGGCACATGAACAAGTGCAACAGAATAATGTAATGTTGTGCGGAATGGGGCTGATGAAGACTGTACCCGCTGTTCACGTTTTCAAGAATATGCAATGCATCATGGCATGATATAAATTTATAGAAAATATTAGGGGATCATCTTCTTAGATCATAAATTTTGTTAAAAAATAATACGATAGTTGATGGTTAGGCGATTATTTTAATATTTAAATAAAGATTTTAACACCAATCGACACATCATATATCAACAAAATACGGTCTAATCTCTCTAGCATCATCCTAAATTTATTACCAAACAATATATATATATATATATATATATATATAATAATAAATTAATCATCAAATATCTCATGTGCCCCAATGTGACTAAAGAAAGTGTGTCATTTGTCTTTTTTGTTGGCCAAGAAGGTTTCGGGGGCTGGCATTAGAAAGTTACAGGATGATGACACAACATTAGTTATCTGATCGAAGCCCTTTCATATGTATGAAATAAAGATATAGGATGATGACATCCTTAGTTTTCTGATGCCTCTTGTTCAACAAGACAGCTGAAGAGAGGATGACGTGGGCAAGAAACCTCTTTAATGGTCTTCTTCCTGTTCCTAGAAAATCAAATTCCTCCAAAAGTTTCACTAGCCTTGCAAGTTGTTTAGGGTTTGCGATATCGATGCTTTTGGGATACAAATCACAAGACGATTACTTAAAAGATAAAGGAAAGAAATATCTTGATGTGATTCAAGGTGTCAATTGTATTTCATTGTATGGCTATACATTTTACAAATGTATCAAAAAGTGTTAATCCCAATGGAAACCCTAATAAAATGTGGATGCCTTAGAGATTTTGAAACAAATAACTGTGGCCTTTTAAAGCACATCATTGTGAGATTATGTTCAAAAGAAAAACTCTTGTTTTAATCAAGCGCCTAAAAACGCTATCCAAACCATTCTCAAGGCCTTCAACGGTGACTTCCAAAGCCTCCAATTTTTTATGTGCGTTTTGAATCTTCTCAACATTATCACCTTCTGTAGGAGTCGATGAAGATTTGCATAGAGAGTAGACAGCAGCATCAACAACATCCAACTCATGGCCATTAATATCCTCATTCTGATCTTCACATGCTATCCCTCCCTTGTGCATAAACTTTGATACCAAAGTCCACTTTTTTGACCTTGGCTTTGAGACTGGAACTGCTAGGAAGACCAATAGGGATTGAAAGATAGACATGTTCTTACCAAACACTTCTTTAAGAACTCGAGTTACCGCGGAAGCATGCTGATCTTGTTCTAGATGTTGTGATGCTTTGTTGTCTACTTGCTTCAGTGATGTGATCAATTTCTTGGCATCCTTCTTCATCTTCTTTCTGAAGCAATTGTAATTTGCAATGAAGCTTGAGTCTCCCTTTCTCCTCCTAAGAGCAGATTGAAGGTCTCTAACATGTTCCTTGATTTGTGACATGACATCCCTTGTGATGCCACATATGTCCAAGAGCCTCAGTGATCCATCCAACAACTCATCCATACACTTGTCTTGTTGGTAATGAGAAAGGAGTTGTTGGGTTGATGCCATCTGTAAAAGATCATCCACACAATCATACAACTCCTCTAGTCCACATAGATCTTTGCAGATTGAAGCAGAAGATGAAGATGTTTGGAGCCTACTCAGCTGTTCTTCAACCCTAAGAGTGGAGGGGGGTGATCTTAAGGGAAGGCTGATTGATCTGACTTTGTACTTGGCAGCCATGGTTGAAGCTGTTCTGTATGTTTCACAAGAGCTCAAGTTTGAGGTTTTTGGTCTCACTGTATCTTGGAATACGTATATATATTGATGAAAGGTGAGAGTGACAAGACTTTTGCGTTAATATGGAGATGTTACATTGTCACAATTTCAGGTAACATTATTGCTTCAATAATTTGAGGCCCCAATTGTTTGTGGCAAAAGCCTCACGACTCATCACCAACTTTGCCTCCCCTTGTGCCACATTGCGCTTCATTTTTAATTAATTGAACTGTGGCAGGCCAGTCCTCCAATCGGTGGCCTTGTATAGATTTTCTCAGTTTTTTAAAAGGTCCAACACCAAAGTTGCATTAGATACAGAGATCCCGATCCATTGGGATAATAATTAAGATATGTAACATATTATTGTATGCACAAGTGACTTGTACTAATCATGTCTCTATTAGACTTTTGGTAAATGTTTGCATAGAAGTCATGACTACACTAGAAGTCGACGTGTGGACCATGGGGACATTTGGTGCTCTCTGCTTGGTTCTCATATTTGAGTCATCTCACCATATCATTGATGTAGATTTCCTTTTGAATTTTATTTAATTTTCTATACTTATTTTATGTATGGCTTTTCAGTAGTTTTATGTTTGATATGTGTTAAGTTTATGATAACCAAATTAAGCAGAACCACAAAAAAAAAACCACATACAAAAGGAGTACAGAAGATTTGAACTCCGAAATTTTACGTTTGGAATATAGGTAGGAGAAGATCTTTGCTTGGCTTTGTCAGTTGAGTCACATCACCCAATCATCGGAGACTTCTTTTTCTTGGGTCGGTAAAATCATTCGAGAGTAGTATTTCCTATTGAAACTAACTTTGCATAACTGCATTAAAATAGACAGGTACTACTCGGCATTTAAAATAGGTGAAAACTGACGAGTGCTGAGTATGGTTCAGTATGAAATCTAAGGTGTATTCTATAAACTATTGGTTTGAGTAAGTCTAGAGTTTCAGGGGTTAAGGTATAGGAGGATTGAAGATATTGTTGGTGTGGTTTGGCTTGTACAAGCAAAAAGAGATGTGCCAGACCTTTATCGAATGAGCAGTTTGTTTAAGTTTTCAGATCTAAGGAATACAATAATAATGTTTAAAGCTTTTGTTCCATTACTAATAACACAGACTTCTTAGAATAAAACTCCACACTTCAAGTCAATTTCGCTTCTCCAAGTGCATGGGGGTATAAAAATTCTCTGTTTCTTTTATATGAAAAATTTCTAAAGAAATTGAGGGGAAACCTTGGCTCGTTCATACAGTTCATCCCTAGAACGTATGCATGTGACTCTGTGATTGCATGACTCATCCCAAGGCTCTCTCGATGTCCCTGCAACTTTCTTGGCCCACAAAAACGACAAATTACGCTCTTTAATCCCATTGGAAGTTGTAAGGTTTTTATTACAAAAACTTGCTATCATCATGCATGATGCATTGCTGCATAAAAACGTGAACAAACATTAGAAAATTACAGCCTATAACCGAGCGTTCGCTCTGTTGTCCTTTAATTTGTATGGCTTGTGATTCATGCATGATGATTGATGAGTTCATCATTTTCATCACTAATTCCACAGATTTGTAAGTATATATAACCGTGGTTGACACATATGAATGGTTAAAAGATTTTCAAATTAAATTATTTTTTTTGTACATCTTTAGATAGTAATAAAAAAAAATTAACGGTTTCAATTATATTATTTGTACAGTAAAAATACGTTAATCTCGAATGGGAGACAAGCAAGGTCCCATAAAAGGGAAACAAGTGCTTTCCCATAACATATTGGTTAAAGACTATCCTGGCAAGCTAGATAGCCAGCTAGATCAACATGCATTTTATAGATGCACAGGCCATGAACCATATTAAGATCGATGATTTATATTATAGATAATACCCAGTATCTAATGTGTGTGCACTGCAAAGACAATGTAATGTGCCCTAGTGACATTCCGAGTGAATACCAAATTAAATTAATTTATGCAGAAAAATCTCTTGCGGCCCTCATGGATATGAATGCAATATGTTGAGCATGTAATCGATATGTCATTAATTGTGTTTTCTGATTGGTTTTATACAGTTGGACTGGTCTGATGAATTACATAGAAAATATTGTAACTTTCTCCAGCAATATTAAGCCATCCACACCATCAAATTTTGCATCTTTGGTATACATTCGTTGCATGATGTAGCCGACTAGAAATGTCCGTTTACAAAGAACGAATAGGTTCTGTGTGTATAGGAGAATAGGAGAAAAGGAGAAATATCTACTGCCTTAGTGCCCCGTCTCCAAAACGATACCAACATCACCAACATACATCACGATCCATATATATATTTCACACAGTAAAACATCAAATCTTAATGTTATGAAATTATGAGTTATTGCAGGCCTGTGGTTACCTGTAATAGTACATATGTCGAGCGATGTTTGAATTGACGACTAATAAGATTGAGGAGCAACTTGACAAACAAGTTCAATAACAGTAAAATTACCTAAACTTTTGCATATTTAGCTCTGGGTTTCGATTTGGGTCAAATTCTATATTGTATACTAGGTTAAAAATTAAGGAATTTTAACGAAAAACTCTTGGTACTGTTCATTTTAATGAAAAATCACATTTTTACACTAAAAAGTCAATCCTAGTACTATTCACTTTATCTTTTATTTTGTCATTTTTGTTAAAACTCAAAATTTTCAAACCATTTTCATTAGTTTTTCTTAAAAACTATGGTTTCAGTTCTGAGGTAGTTATATTTTAAAAGAGATTTTAGTTGACATATCATAGAGTAATTAAAGGCATTTTTGTATTAAGATGATTTCAAGTCAAGGGTATAAGCCATTTTTAATTTGAAAATGTGCAAAATTCGTCTTCAATAGGGGGGCTATATGGTTGTCAGCATAAATGGATGGGTATTTGTAGTCCTCAAGTGGGATACATTTAGGTCTCTTACAAAGGTTTTTGGGGAGCTCACGTGGGCTTCCTTTCTCTTTATTTTTTATTTTTCACTTTCTTTCTCTAAATACTATGAATTATTAGTATATAACCATGTATGTACTAGTCAGCAGTGGAGATGGAAATAATTTAGTTGAGACTACACGTTAGAAGAACAATATTTGGAGGAAGTGCTGCATGCTCGTTTTGATCGGGAGAGGGGTGGGCAACTTCAGCCGGTGCTAGCGCCTGCGGTGGTGCCTCGTGAGTTGCAGCTTAAAGTGTGGCTCTCCTCACTCTTTAGCTCTCTACTATTGGAGATGATCAAAGATTGTTATCCTATATTATCAATAAAAAACTTTGAGTTTCTTTCATATTTCATATGTTTTACGTTATCGTTTGATTTACTTCATTACTTGAGCTTGTGAGCTTGCCAACTTGCCAATACAAATTTTAAATTGGTCAATACACATGCCTCTGTGGTTCTTTGAAGCAGGACACAAGACCAATCACTGACAGGAGCATGAGAACATTATTGTAGACAAATCACTGACAAGAGCATGACAAAATTAATTGTAACGTGAAAAACTAAAAACCAAAAAAGGGCTAAGACCCTAAACTTCAACTAACGTCGAACATCGCTCGAACGAGAGCAAATTCCTTGCGCCAAGCTATGCCGAAATAACTCTTACCTGAATTCACTCCCCCATTCCCAAAAGTTCGAATTACTCTGTCTTCCTCGGAACTTTCGTTTTCCTTCCTCTGTAAAAGTGAAAAGGTCAAATCATGTCGTAAGAGTGTAAACTTACCTTCCTCTTACTAATCATAAGCCTGCGCTGACTTATTTGCCTCATTTTCCCACATCAAAAAGACAGATCTTAGTCATAGACTATTTTCTTTCTCCCTCTCTATAAGTTCTTAAAGAGGATTATGAAGTAGTCTCCCGGCTCTCTAAACTTGTTCTCACTAAAAAAAAAAAAAAAAAAAAAGGGAAAAAACTATGTCAGAACTGAAACATAACCATTAGAAAATTAGATATTGTACGACACAGTAATTGTTAGAAACAAAAATGTTAAATACTGATGAATTAAGGTTATGGGTGAGAATTTGAGAGGCATATCATGTATGAATCTATGATGTTGGGGAGGCGATAACAGCAAGGCATGCAAATAAATGGTGTGCGGTATTATTCGTAATGGGCTGATGGAGAGCCTGCAGCAGTTTTTCACGTTTTCAAGAACATACAGATGCATCATGCATGATATAATATATACCACTAATGTTAGAGAGATTAAATTTGTAGACTATATTTACAAATTAAATGATGTGTTACCAATAAAAAATAAACACATTAATACATTTAGGTAACAATCGAATCATTAACTTCTATATTATTTAGTCCATAAAATTTAATCTTTTTAACATTACTCAATATATGCATCACTTATCTCATCGTAAAGTATGAAAAGAAAAGATGAAAATGGATGGAAGAGAAAGGAAGAGAATCTAAGTTCTAATTTGTTGGCAAATAAAGTTGCAGGGGGGGACGTCATATTTTAGAGCGACGATGAGAGTGAAGACAGGGATAGACCCACGTTGCATGCCGTCACAGACTCACATGCATGCGTATGGGATCTGCATGCGTATGGGATCCATGACTTATACGAAAGAGCTCGATTCCTTCATATCTAATCAACTAATATTTCCTCGAAAAGAAAATAATAACCAACTAATACATTTCCTCTTCATAAAAAGGAGTCACTATATAGGTAATTGCCATTGGTCACCTTCTAAAGCTTTACTTTACTGGAAGAGTAATGTTATTTATACCACATTTTTATTTTACTTTAATTGGCATTTGATGTGGACATCCATATCATTTGAATTAATCAGATTTTTAAATTTAGTTCATTATTTAATAAACTAATAATTAAGAAAAACTAGTTAATTAAATTATGACTGTTGTATACGAGGAGTCTTTCTCCTTCATTTTCTTGGGTTTTGCAAATTTTTCAAATGATGTGGCTGTCCACATCAGATGCCACCTAAGGTGGTATAAAAATGTGATATAAAAATATGGTATGAATAACATTACTCTTATTGGAAATTCCTCCCAAACCCTACGTACTGAAAACCTATCTACCATCATATTAGAATTTTCACTTTCATAAGCTAGCTAACTCTAAGTAAACCCATCCAAAAATGAGATAACAAAGAAAAAAAAAACAGCTCCTGTCTGCTTTGCAAGATTAATTTCAACAAAAAATACAACTAATATTCTCTGTTCTCCAATGATTTTTGGTGCAAAGACTAGAGAGATAATTAAGCAGAGATCACCACTTGTATCATACAAAGATAGAATGTAAAATAATAAATATTCAATATATGATTTGGTACTCAAGTCCAATCCATCCATTACAACTTAAAATTTCAAGGAAATATCATGATGTGATTCAAGAACTTGGGTATCAGTTGCATTTCATTGTAAAGCTATATATACATTACAAATGCATAGCAGAAAATATAATCCCAAAGGAATCCTAAAAAATGTGGATGGCTTGAGGATTTTTTGATACATATACATGGCCTTTGAGAGCACATTATTGTGAGATTATGTTCAAAAGAGAAGCTCTTGTTTTAATCATGCGCCTAAAAACGCTCTCTAAACCATTCTCAAGGCCTTCAATGGTTACTTCCAAAGCCTCCAATCTTTTATTTGAACAGTCAAATGTAGCGGTTGATGATTTGCATATATTGCATAGAGCAGCATCAACACCATCAAACTCATGGCCATTAATGTGTTCCTTCTGATCTTCACATGCTATCACTCCTTTGTGCATGAACTTTGGTACCAATGACCACTTGTTTGACTTTGGCTTTGAAACTGGAACTGCTAAAAAGACCAAGAGGGATTGGAAGATAGACATGTTCTTCACACAAACTTCTCTAAGAACTCGAATCACGGCAGTGAGATGGTGATCTTGCTCAAGAAGTGGCGATGTTGCAATTTTATTGTCTACTTGTTTCAAAGATGTGATCAATTTCTTGGCATCCTTGTTCATCTTCTTTCTGAAGCAAGTGTACTTGGAAATGCTGCTTTCAAGGCTTGAGTCTCCCTTTCTCCTCCTAAGAGCAGATTGAAGATCTCTAACATGTTCCTTGATTGTTGAAATGGCATCTCTTGTGATGCCACATATGTCCAAGAGCCTCATGAGTGATCCATCCAACAACTCATCCATGCACTTCTTTTGTTGGTGTTGAGAAAGGAGCTGTTGGGTTGATGCCATCTGTAAAAGATTACACACTCATACAACTCGTCTAGCCCACATAGAGATTTGCAGATTGAGTCTGAAGTTGAATTAAAAGATGACGATGTTTGGAGCCTGTTCAGTTCCTCTTCAACCCTAAGATTAGTAGGGTGAGATCTTAAGGGCAAGCTGATTGATCTAATAACATGATGCTTGGCAGCCATCGTTTAGGGTTTGACAAAAAGCTCAAAGTTGAGATTGTTCTTTGTTTTTTAAAGAGCTCAAGTTTGAGGTGTTTGATCCTTACTATCTTTGGGAATGCCTATATGTAGAATTATCAGAGAGAGGTGTCAAAGGCCCACTTTCAATAATACTGATACTGTCTCCAATTTGGTAATTACCACCTGCACAATCCGTCAAGTGTGGGGTTTTTATCACAAAATGCCTTGGTTTTAGGTGGAGTTGGGTTAGGTTAGGATATTTAAACTCTTCTTTTCTCATTGATATGGTCGATGTGGGACATTTCAACACACTCCCTCACGTGAGACCCAATTAGTGGGTCACACGTGGGAGATCCACACATCGACAACCACATGGAATCAAGGGGATTCACCCTACACGCGGGGCCAAGGGACCCACCATCATCGCGCTAGGCCAAGGGAATCCACCCATCACGTGGCAGTACAGTACGAGCCTGCTCCCTAGCTCTAATACCATGTAGAATTATCAAAAAGACAAGCCAAAGACCCACTTTCAACAATACCGATATTGTCCCCGACTTGGTAATTACCACATGCACAATCCGTCAGATGTGGGGTTTTTATAACAAAAAGCCTCGGTTTTATTGAGAGTGGGGTTAACATATTTATACTCTCATTTTCTCATTAATACGGACGATATGAGACATTCCAACACTATATTATATACTAATACAGAGAGGGGAGAGGAGAGAGGGGAGAGGGGGTGGGGGGAGGGGGGAGGAGGGGGGACCAGGACTGTTCAAGTCAATGTGGAGCATGTGGAGCCAGAGTGGGCTTTCCTTGATTTTGGTTACCTTGTCACGTATTTGGGTAACATTGCCTCAATAATTTGGAATTTCTTTAGGTATGGCAATTAGAATGAGGATCTTGTCTTTGGTGCATTGGTTAGGGCAAAAGCATCACGATTCATCACAAACATTGCTCCGCTAGTGCCACATTACCCTTCAATTTGTATTTATTAATGCGTCTTGTCTTAATTTTGGAGAAACTTCAACACCAAGATCGCATTAAACAAAAATGTAACGTGTTACATATATATATATATATATATATATATATGTATGGTAGTTAGTAAGCCAAGATTAACATCATCATTATTGGAATTAATTAGTTTTATATTATATGCACGAGTGGTTTGTACTATTCATGTCTCCATTAAAATTATGGTAAATGCATATTAAAATTGGTTAATTCAGGACAAAAGGTTCCCAAACTGTTTCATTTGTGTATAGGAGGTGTGAAGCATACGTTGCTGCTTATGTAGACACGTGTTGCTACTCCTTCGATAGTATAGAAGTAAAGAGTTGATAAAATTTGTCACTTAGTACAATAGACTAGTACTATTTCTCTTCATTTGTAAGTGAGAGATCTTAGATTTTATTCTCTACTTGGTTCTCTCATTTGAGTCCTCTCATCTCCAAATCATTGAAGTAGATTTTTTGTTGAAATTTCCTTTTTGTTTCTTGCATCTCTAATTCCTATCAAACTCTAACCAACTAGCACATCAAGTCTAAAGGAACTTGTGAAGAATTTCCATAGTTAAAACAACGTTTGATCAACATCTACAACAATTCAAATTCTCCAAAAAAAAATTATCGATGCTTCTATACATCTCTCTGTTGGGTTCCTTAGTGCTAGGCAAAATCCTTTTGATCTTGGTTAGTTTTGATTTACAATTCAAATTATGCCAAACATTATTCACTTCATAAGAGATTCCTATGCTTATTCATATTCGTGTGTACAAAGTTGTAAACATTACGTATGCTCAAGCCCAAATAAGTTTTGAGTACCCTCCACTACTAAATCTCTTTATTGGTTTCATCAAGACGTAGATTTTTGGGCTTAGCTCCAACAGCACTCTCCTTGTCCTCCCTTAGTCTTCATTGGAGAAGAACTTTTTAGTTTTCACAATAGAATAATGTAAAATTTCAATGTGATTATAACGTCATGTGAATTTATAAACGTGAACTTAATGGTTAAAGTCCGAGATTACAGTCATACTGATTTTATTTTCTTTTTGCTCATCAAAAATTAAAAAAGAAAAAGGTTGCTTTCTAGTTTACTTGGCAATAACATGCTAGTTTTTCTCTACCCTATATCTTAACCATGCTTATTGTTAATTAATTTATCAACTTCACAAAGTCAGCTAGCCATCTCTTTCTACATTTATCTGTACTTTTCTTTTATTTTTTTTACTAACCAAATGTATTAGAGTAATAATATATGAAGTAAGACGTCGTACCATTGTAAACAATTTATGAAGTGACTGGTCCTTCCCAACAAATTATTCAAGATTTTTAAGAATGTGAATGTGACATATTTCATTTTAAAGTCTCCATTTCCCACGACATATGGTGGAGTCATTTCCTTTTGCAATAATATGATGTGCAAACCAATTATTGAATATGCTTTAGCTGTCCTCGCGCAGCTTGCTTGAGGACACTTGGCAAGGAAGCTCAAGTATTTTCTAACATGCGGCTTTCTGTTAAATGTGAAAGAACATAGTAATATACCTTAAAATCTTCTCACCTTGTCTCTTTCCCAAGCCAAAGTCACGAAATCAAATAAATTGATATATTTGGAAGCAACACTAATCTTAACTCCTTCTGAGTTTGTTCATACTAAGCGATCTGATCAACTAAAGAAGCTAGTTTCACTTGCAAGAGGTGTTATGGTTTGATATGAACCGCCTTATGTCATATTTTATTCTCTATATATGAATTGAGCTTGATAACTTTGATTATATAATATACTATCTTTCTAAGCTAAGAGAACACCCGGTGATAAGTTGTTATTATATGACAATTCTTATAACTAGTTTCTTTATTGTACATCACGCTTTCTCCTTGAATCAAAATAAGAGTTATAGCAAGAGTTTTTAGCAAGGGCCACTTTCATGTTTTCTTAATCTTGTTTTCATGTTCTCTTCATTTCTTAATGAATATCGTAACTTATCTTAAAAATTGAAGCAAGTTCACCTGTCCCATATATAAAAAAATTGAATCAAATTGTCGAATGCATGTGCTTCATATGGAGTTTTCTTTCTTGACTTTTCACCCCTTTCCATTGAGTCCGTCCCAAAACTTTTGAAACTTTCAAATAAGTGGTCAAAAATACTTCTACTTCAAACCACTGATTAAGAAGTACCTTGAAAACTTCTTATTCAAACCTGTCAGCAAAGATGGAGAAAAGTTTGGCCAAATAGTCAAAGATCCATCAAAAAGTTACCAAGAAATCATCGTTTCCTTCTTTTAAGGCCAAAGCAAGAAGAAAAAGGAAGAAAGATCAAAGAAAACAACAATCTCACTACTCATAAAATTTTAAAAAAAAAAACTACTGAAAATGGTTGGAAAATTTTAATTTTTAACGATAAGGATGAAATAAAGAGTAAAATAAATAGTATCAAGTTTGATTTTTTAGTATAAAAATATAATTTTTTGTTAAAGTAAATAGTACCGTGAACGTTTTGTTAAAATTTCTTAAAATTAAAGGGACCACAATCAGATTCCAAGACCAAGTATGAAACCTAGTAGGTACACGCATCAAATTCTACATAATCAAGTACTATAAACTGACGTAGGTTTAATTGCATTTGGAAGGGTGCAAGCCTTCAAGGGAACATCGAAAGACGTGACACTCGTGCAACCCACATACATATATATTATGAATATAATTTTGCTTTCAATTTTGTTTAACACCCCACATTTCCAACAAAATTCCAAAACTAATTTAAAAAAATGGTTTCATGATCTTGTTGTATGTATGGATTTCTCGATATTCAACATTCTAAGGCTTTCTCAGCGAAAGAACTTTGAAATGCTCAACCTCTTTAAATTTTTGCTATCAACTTTCTATGATTTGGGTTATTTGACCACATAAGAAACCAAAATTTAACAGCGCTGGCCAATTAATTTTTAAAAGTATTCATAATACAGGTCAGTAATAATATATTATCTACGATTGGATTTATTTTTTGAACCACAAATAAAAAGAATCAATTTTTAAATGATACCTTACCCAAAAAATACTAAGCTGATATTAAAATTAGACAAATATTTAGTTCATATTTAGTGCAAGAGACGTGACAACATAACTCACGCCATGAAATAATAGCCCATCGGGCCTCCACATGTTGATCACATTGACCTGAGGACCCAAAAGATGCTTCTAGCGAATCTGGCCTCCCCTCCCATCTTCTTTCAAATTCGTACCTCGGTATATATATGCGACTTCGAAATCTAAACCATACAACACAACTTCTTCAATCCAATTCCTATAAGTTTCTATAAGTTCTTATAACTTTCACAAAATTTCAACCTTTCTATGATGAAAAGAGCAACAATGGCTTCGTTCTCTCCAAAACCCTCAAAGCTTTACAATGTTGGATCAATTAGTATGCCGGTTAGGTCACATCCAAGCACATCCAAAACTGAGGAAGAGCTGAACAAGCTCAAGGCCTGGGAGGCACAGTTGACCTCTTCGTCGTCGTTGTCGCCTGTGTCATCAGAAGTGGATTCAATATGCAAAGGGCTAGGTGGTCTCAAAGAGTTGTACGTTTGTATTGAAGAGCTTCTTCACCTGTCATTGGCTCAACAAGCTCTAGCCCTTCACCAAAACGAGAAATGGGTTGAAGAGCTGTTGGATAGTTCTGTCAAGTACTTGGATGTATGTGGAAACACAAAGGATTCCATTGGGACCATGAAGGAAAGCGTTAGAGGTCTTCAATCTGCGCTTCGGAGAAGAAAGGTGGGGGATTCGAGCTTCGAAGACATTGTAAGTTCATATGTTTGCATAAGAAAAAAAATGAACGAGGAAATTGTGCGGTTTGTGGCATCATTGAAGCAAATGGATCAAAAGTACGAAGCATTTCCTTTGGATCTCAACAACCATCTGGCCCCGATGGTGCGGGTGTTCAGAGAGGCAAGTTTGATCACCAGCTCCATTTTTCAGTCACTTTCTTCATTTCTGTCCACTCCAATTTTGAAGCCAAGGCCTAGCAGATGGTCGTTGGTTTCGATTTTGTTGCACAAAGGGGTTTTGGTTTGTGACAACAACCAACGCAAAAGCATGAACGAGCTGGAAAAGGTAGATATTTCAGTTAGCAACATGGTTGTGCATAATTCAGGTGAAGATTTTGTGGATGCTCAGAAGGTTCAATTTGTACAACGAAAGTTGGAGGTCTTGGATTCAAGCATTGAAGGCATTGAAAATGGTTTGGAGGGATTGTTTAAGGTCTTGATCCACATCAGAGTTTCTCTCCTAAACATACTTTCTTGTTAAGATCATCCGTCGATTAGTTTCCATTTGTACCAGATATCTCCTTAGTGGCAGAATTTAAAGGATCAATGTATATTCTTCTTCATGTTTTTTTCTAAACTAGCTATTGGTGCCCATGCGATGTTGTGTGGATTAAACATATGTTAAACATGTAAAAAGTTCTAAGTATATATATATATATATATATATATATATATATATGATAAACAATACTATTTATATACACGTGATTCATACCTTGTTGTCCATTAAAAGAAATGCAAACTGACAAAATGCAAAGCAAAAATATGAATTGTACATGAAATTGTCTTCGATCCAAAATAGATACTATCTACAGTCCGACAAACAACGGGCAGAGATAGAATAGAGTAGTCTCCCGTCTCTTTAAACTTGTTCTCACCCAAAAAAAAAAAAAAAAACAAAAAAACAATGTCAGAACTGAAGCATAACCATTAGAAAATTAGATATTGTACAACACAGTAATTGTAAGAAACAAAAATGTTAAATACTGATGAATTAAGGTTATGGGTGAGAATTTGAGAGGCATATCATGTATGAATCTATGATGTTGGGGAGGCAACAACAGCACGGCACGCAAATGAATGGTGTGCGGTATTATTCGTAATGGGCTGATGGAGAGCCTGTAGCAGTTGTTCACGTTTTCAAGTACAGATGCACCATGCATGAGATAATATATACAACTAATGTTAAAAAGATTAAATTTATAAACTATATTTGTAAACTAAATGACATGTCACTAATAAAAAATAAACACGTTAATCTACACTTAGTGTAACATCCCACATCGCTCAGGGGGGTGGATCCTGTAAGCCTCATATGTATATTCTCATATCTACCTAGCACGAGGCCTTTTGGGAGCTCACTGACTTCGGGTTTCGTAGGAACTCCAAAGGTAAGCGAGTTTGTGCGAGAGCAATCCCAGGATGGATGACTCACTAGGAAGTTCTCGTGTGAATTCCCAGAAACAAAATCGTAAGGGCGTGGTCATGGCACAAAGCAAACAATATCGTGCTATGGTGGAGTTGAGCCCAGAATGTGGTGGGGGCCCGAGCCAGGATGTGACAATTTGGTATCAGAGCCAATCCCTCGCCGAAAGTGTGTCAACGAGGACTTCGGGCCCTTAAGGGTGGTGGATTGTAACATCCCACATCGTCCAGGGGAGTGGATTTTGTAAGCCTTATATGTCATCTCTATCTGGTATGAGGCATTTTGGGAGCTCAGTTTCGGGTTCCATAGGAACTCCCAAGTTAAGTGAGTTCGCGCGAGAGCAATCCCAGGATGGGTGACCCACTGGGAAGTTCTCGTGTGAGTTCCAAGAAACAAAATCGTGAGGGCGTGGTCAGGACCCAAAACAGACAATATCGTGTTACGGTGGATTCGAACCCGGGATGTGATGGGGGCCCGAACCGGAATGTGACACTTAAATAATAATCGAATCATCAACTTTAATATTATTTAGTTTATAAAATCTAGTCTCCTTAACATTACTTAATACATGCGCTACTCATCTCATCGCATGCTCCAACCTCCAATGCGATTAAAAGAAAGTGTTTTTTGTTGTCTTAATTTGTTGGCAAATAAAGTCGCACGGGACGTCATATTTCAGAGCGATGATGAGAGTGAAGACAGGGGTAGACCCACGTTGCATGACTCGCATGGATGCGTATGGGATCTGCATGCTTTAAGATCGTTGACTTATACGAAAGAGCTCAATTCCTTCAGATCTAATCAACTAATATTTCCTCGAAAAGAAAATAATAACCAACTAATACATTTCCTCGTCGTAAAAAGGAGTCACTATATAGGTAATTGCCATTGGTCACCTTCTAAAGCTTTACTTTATTGGAAATTCCTCCCAAACCCTAATACTGAAAACCTATCTACCATCATATTAGAATTTTCACTTTCATAAGCTAGTTAACTCTAGGTAAACCCATCCAAAAATGAGATAACAAAGAAAAAAAAAAAACAGCTCCTATCTGCTTTGCAAGATTAATTTCAACAAAAAAATACAACTAAAATTCTCCGTTCTCCAATGATTTTTGGTGCAAAAACTTGAGAGAGATAATTAAGCAGAGATCACCACCTGTCTCTTACAAAGCTAGAATGTAAAATAATAAATGTTCAATATATGATTTGGTACTCAAGTCCAATCCATCCATTACAACTTAAAATTTCAAGGAAATATCATGATGTGATTCAAGAACTTGGGTATCAATTGTATTTCATTGTAAGGCTATATATACATTACAAATGCATAGCAGAAAATATTATCCCAAAGGAATCCTAAAAAATGCGGATGGCTTGAGGATTTTTTGATACATATAAATGGCCTTTGGGAGCACATTATTGTGAGATTATGTTCAAAAGAGAAGCTCTTGTTTTAATCATGCGCCTAAAAACGCTCTCTAAACCATTCTCAAGGCCTTCAATGGTTACTTCCAAAGCCTCCAATCTTTTATTTGCACATTCAAATGTAGCAGTTGATGATTTGCATAGATTGTATAAAGCAGCATCAAGGCGATGTTGCAAGACCAAGAGGGATTGGAAGATAGACATGTTCTTCACACGAACTTCTCTAAGAACTCGAATCACGGCAGTGAGATGGTGATCTTGCTCAAGAAGTGGCGATGTTGCAATTTTATTGTCTACTTGTTTCAAAGATGTGATCAATTTCTTGGCATCCTTGTTCATCTTCTTTCTGAAGCAAGTGTACTTGGAAATGCTGCTTTCAAGGCTTGAGTCTCCCTTTCTCCTCCTAAGAGCAGATTGAAGATCTCTAACATGTTCCTTGATTGTTGAAATGGCATCTCCTGTGATGTCACATATGTCCAAGAGCCTCATGAGTGCTCCATCCAACAACTCATGAGAAAGGAGCTGTTGGGTTGATGCCATCTGTAAAAGATCATCTACACACTCATACAACTCGTCTAGCCCACATAGAGATTTGCAGATTGAGTCTGAAGTTGAATCACAAGATGACGATGTTTGGAGCCTGTTCAGCTCCTCTTCAACCCTAAGAGTAGTAGGGTGAGACCTTGAGGGCAAGCTGATTGATCTAATAACATGGTGCTTGGCAGCCATCGTTTAGGGTTTGACAAAAAGCTCAAAGTTGAGATTGTTCTTTGTTTTTTAAAGAGCTCAAGTTTGAGGTGTTTTTTATCCTTACTATCTTTGGGAATGCCTATATTATATACTAACACAGAAGAGGGGGTTTTTTTTTTTTTGGTTGGGGGGGGGGGGGGGGGTGTGGGGTGGTGTGGTTGGGTTGTTGGGATAACCAAGACTGTTCAAATCCATGTGGAGCATGTGGAGCCAGAGTGGGCTTTCCTTGGTTTTTGGTTACCTTGTCACGTATTTGAGTAACATTGCCTCAATAATTTGCAATTTCTTTGGGTATGGCAATTAGCATGAGGATCTTGTCTTTGGTGCATTGGTTAGGGCAAAAGCATCACAAGTCATCACAAACATTGCTCCGCTAGTGCCACATTACCGTTCAATTTTTATTTATAAATGTGTCTTTTCTTAATTTTGGAGAAACTTCATCAACACCAAGACAAGATTGCATTAAACAAAAACGTAACATGTTATATATATGTATGGTAGTTAGAAAGCCAAGATTAACATCATCATTATTGGAATTAATCAGTTTTATATTATGTGCACGAGTGGTTTGTACTATTCATGTCTCCATTAAAATTATGGTAAATGCATTTTAAAATTGGTTAATTCAAGACTAAAGGTCCCCAAACTGTTTCATTTGTGTATAAGAGGTGTGAAGCGTACGTTGCTGCTTATGGAGACACGTGTTGCTACTCCTTCGGTAGTATAGAAGTAAAGAGTTGATAAAATTTGTCACTTAGTACTATTTCTCTTCACTTGTAAGTGAGATGTTTTAGATTCGATTCTCTGTTTGGTTCTCTCATTTGAGTCCTCTCATCACCAAATCATTGAAGTAGATTTCTTGTTGAAATTTCCCTTTTGCTTCTTGCATCTCTGATTCCTATCAAACTCTAAACAACTAGCACATCAAGGCTAAAGGACCTTGTGAAGAATTTCCATAGTTAAAAAGCATTTGATCAACATCTACAACATTTCAAATTCTCCAAACAAAAAAAAAAATATCGATGCTTCTATGCATCTTTCTGTTGGGTTCCTTAGTGCTAGGCAAAATCCTTTTGATCTTGGTTAGTTTTGGCACACCATTAGTTTATAATTCAAATTATGCCGAACATTATTCACTTCATATGATATTCCTATGCTTTTTCATATTCGTGTGCGTAAAGTTGTAAACATTACGCGTGCTCAAGCCCAAATAAGTTTTGAGTACCCTCCACTACTAAAACTCTTTATTGGTTTCATAAAGAATTAGATATTTGGGCTTGGCTCCAACGCCACTCTCTTTGTCCTCCCTTAGAAAGTCTTCATTGGGGAAGCACGTTTAGTTTTCACAATAGGACAACATGAATTTTCAATGTGATTATAACATCACGTGAATTTATAAACGTGAACTTAAGATGGTTAATGGTCGAGATTACAGTCACACTGAAATATTTTTTTATTTTGCTCATCAAAAATTAAAAAAGAAAAAGGTTGCTTTCTAGTTTACTTGGCAATGACATGCTAATTTTTCTCTACCCTATATCTTAACCATGCTTATTGTTAATTAATTTATCAACTTCACAAAGTCAGCTAGCCATCTCTTTCTACATTTATCTGTACTTTTTTTTGGTTGTTTTTGCTAACCAAATGTATTAGAGTAATAATATATGAAGTAAGACGTTGTACCATTTTAAACAATTTATAAAATGACCCGTACTTCCCAACAAATTATTCAAGATTTTTAAGAATGTGAATGTGACATGTGTCATTTTTAAGTCTCAATTTCCCACGATATATGGTGGAGTCATTTCCCTTTGCAATAATATGATGTGCAAATCAATTATTGAATATGCTTTAGTTCAAGTATTTTAAATTGAAAGAATATAGTAATATACCTTAAAATCTTCTCAACTTGTCTCTTTTCCAAGCCAAAGTCACGAAATCAAATAAATTGATATATTTGGAAGCAACACTAATCTTAACCCCCTCTGAGTTTGTTCATACTAAGCGATCCTGATCAACTAAGGAAGGTAGTTTCACTGGCAAGAGGTGTTATGGTTTGATATGAACCACCTTATGTCATTTTCTATTCTCTATATATAAATCGAGTTGTGATAACTTTGATTATATGATATGTCATCTTTCTAAGTCAATAAAATATGTTTCACGCTGTCATATATAGAGAACACTCAGTAATAATTTATTATTATAGGACAATTCTTATAATCAGTTTCTTTATAGTAAGTCATGTTTTTTCCTTGAATCAAAAAAAGAGTTGCAGCAAGGGTTTTTAGCGAGAGCAACTTTCATGTTTTCTTAATCTCTTGTTCAGGTTATCTTCATTTCTTAATGAATATCACAGCTTATCTTTAAAAAAGGAAGCAAGTTCACATGTCCCATGAATAAAAAAATTGAATCAAATTGTCGAATGGATATGGAGTTTTCTTTCTTGACTTTTCAGCTTTTCCCTTTCCATTGAGTCCGTCCCAAAACTTACGAAACTTTCAAATAAGTGGTCAAAGATACTTCTAATTCAAACCACGGATTACGGAGAAAATTTTCATTGTGATAAGAATATCGATGGTATATACTACATATTTTAATGTAAATGATGGAAATATTTATTTTTTTAAGTTATTAATTTTTTAACATATATATCATACTATTTGTATAATAACATGTTATGTAACATCCTATATACTAAACACACTAAAAAATCTCTCTTGATTAAGAAGTACTTGAAAAACTTCTTATTCAAACCTGTCAGCAAAGATGAAGAAAAATTTGGCCAAATAGTCAAAAGATCTGTCAAAAAGTTACCAAGAAATCATCGTTTCCTTCTTTTAAGGCCAAATCAAGAAGAAAAAGGAGGACAGATCACAGAAAACAACAATCTCGTTCACTACTCATAAAATTAAAGGGACCAGAATCGGATTCGAAGACAAAGTATGAAACCTAGTAGTTACACGCATCAAATTCTACATAATCAAGTACTATAAACTGATGTAGGTTTAATTGCATTTGGAAGGGTGCAAGCCTTCAAGGGAGCATCGAAAGACATGACACTCGTGCAACCCATATACATATTTATTTTGAATATAATTTTTGCTTTCAATTTTGTTTAACACCCCACATTTCCAACCAAATTCCGAAAATAATTAAAAAAAAAATGATTTCATGATCTTGATGGATATGTGGATTTCTCGATATTCAACATTCTAAGGCTTTCTCAGCGAAAGAACTTTGAAATGCTCAACCTCTTTAAAATTTTGCTACCAACCTTCTTTGAATTTGGGTTATTTGACCACATAAGAAACCAAAATTTAACAGCGCCGGCCAATTAATTTTTAAAAGTATTTAGAATACAGTCATGTAATAATATATTATCCACGACTGGATTGATTTTTTATACCGCAAACAAAAATAATTAATTTTTGAATAATACCTTACCCAAAAAATAATATTAAGCTGATATTAAAATTGAACAGATATTTAGTTCATATTTGGTGCGAAAGACGTGACAATATAACTCACGCCATGAAACAATAGCCCACCGGCCTCCACATGTTGATCACATTGACCTAAGGACCCAAAAGATGCTTCTGGCGAATCTGGCCTCCCCTCCCATCTTCTTTCAAATTTGTACATCGGTATATATATGCGACTTCGAAATCTAAACCATACAACACAACTTCTTCAATCCAATTCCTATAAGTTTCTATAAGTTCTTATAACTTTCACAAAATTTCAACCTTTCTATGATGAAAAGAGCAACAATGGCTTCGTTCTCTCCAAAACCCTCAAAGCTTCACAATGTTGGATCAATTAGTATGCCGGTTAGGTCACATCCAAGCACATCCAAAACTGAGGAAGAGCTGAACAAGCTCAAGGTCTGGGAGGCACAGTTAACATCTTCATCGTTGTCGTCACCTGTGTCATCAGAAGCGGATTCAATATGCAAAGGGCTAGGTGGTCTCAAAGAGTTGTACGTTTGTATTGAGGAGCTTCTTCACCTGCCATTGGCACAGCAAGCTCTAGCCCTTCACCAAAACGAGAAATGGGTTGAAGAGCTGTTGGATAGTTCTGTCAAATACTTGGATGTATGTGGAAACACAAAAGATTCCATTTTGACCATGAAGGAAAGCGTTAGAGATCTTCAATCTGCGCTTCGGAGAAGAAAGGTGGGAGATTCGAGCTTCGAAGACATTGTAAGTTCATATGTTTGCATAAGGAAAAAGATGAACAAGGAAATTGTGCAGTTCGTGGCATCATTGAAGCAAATGGATCAAAAGTACGAAGCATTTCCTTTGGATCTCGACAACCATCTGGCCCCGATGGTGCGGGTGTTCAGAGAGGCAAGTTTGATCACCAGCTCCATTTTTCAGTCACTTTCTTCATTTCTGTCCACTCCAATTTTGAAGCCAAGGCCTAGCAGATGGTCGTTGGTTTCGATTTTGTTGCGCAAAGGGGCGTTGGTTTGTGACAACAACCGACGCAAAAGCATGAACGAGCTGGAAAGGGTAGATATTGCAGTTGGCAACATGGTTGTGCATAATTCAGGTGAAGGTTTTGTGGATGCTCCGAAGGTTCAATCTGTACAACGAAAGTTGGAGGTCTTGGATTCAAGCATTGAAGGCATTGAAGATGGTTTGGAGGGATTGTTTAGGGTCTTGATCCACATCAGAGTTTCTCTCCTAAACATACTTTCTTGTTAAGATCATCCGTCGATTAGTTTACACTAGTAGGGGAGCCCGCGCTATGCGGTTTTTTAAACTGTATAAAATATATATATAACTGTTTATATACATGTAGAAATATCAAATCCATTCATACTCATCACCTGACATTATGAAATTTTGACATTAAGAACAAAATAAGGAGCAAAACAGCCCTCTCATGTCAACAACGACAGAGTGACATTACAAAAGTTTTTGCAACAGAGTACATCTAATTTCGATCAACAACTTGGAGGCAACATCTCACCACCTGAACAATATAAGGGATCAAAATATCCGTCAATTATATACACAATATTTCAATACTATTCATGAAATTCCTGATACAGAAACCCACTTTTGATTAATGATTCCAACCACCATTAAACCGTCATAGTTTCCCAGTGTCAACCAATTTTGCAATCACTTGAGAAAGGTTTCTTTTTTTTTTTTTTTTTTTTAATGAAGTGCTGCAGGCCTATCCTGCAACGCCAGTTTCAGCCGAATCAACAGGCAGACAGAAGAGCCATCTTTCGGTGTATGGCCTTGTAACACTGGACACTGCACAGAGGGAGCTTCAACTGCGAATCCTGGTATTCGAGTGGATTTGTACAGTACGGTCCGGCACACTTTTCACGGCCGATGACGGTAACTGAAATCAGAAAACATAAAAACAAAAATAATGATTAACAGATAAAATTCATGATATATGTGTATATGTATTTCTTTAAATGGAGAGACGTGCGTGAAAACCAGGTTTGAGACGTAATGATCTCCAAAAATTTTACATGAAGGGGAAAAAATAGTGCATCAAAAGTCTAAATTTATATGTCCAATAATGTTTACAACTCTATTTACACATATTTACAACTCTGTTTATACATATATGTACAACATATTTACAATCCTATTTACACGTAACATCCTAATCAGCATTTAATTGAAATGAATAATTAGTGAATTACTCAATAAACTCCGAGTACTTTTCACTTAGCCAAGAGTAATGACCTGCATGAGGAAAGTTGAAGATGGTGACATCAAATTTCCTCCGTCGGAGACAGGATGGATGTCCATCTAATACACAAACTTCATGCAACACCAAGAACCCCATCCTCCTTTGCTCTTCCAAATATGACCAACTGCTCCAATGTTTTGCCTACAAAGAACCTAGAACATCGAATCGATAAATCTTGAACCAAATTAAACAAATTTAAACAACCCCAAAATTTAATTTGTGGCCCAAAAAACCAGAGGAACAGTAATCGTGACATTTGATGAGTACATATATGAAAAATGCACCTGAAGATCGAAACTTTCATCACATAAATCACAAAAAAACAGAATTAGAGAAACCCAAAATTATAATTGCATAAAATTAGATCATCCATTTCAGTCATGAGTAAATACACCATCACACATAACAAATTTGGCTATATGACGGTGATACACAATGTAATTGTTCAGATTCAAACCACACACAAAGCACTTGTAGCTCCCAAGTATACCTGTATCACATTCTGATGTTTGCTTGTTGACTTTGCCCCTGGAGTCCTGATTAATGTGATCTCCTTCAGTGGTGCATGAACTTTTTTCTCCAAAGTTGCTTCCTTAAACATCCCTCTTTCCTGAAAAAAAAAAAAAAAATAGGACCCAAAACATATCATATAAAGCATCAACGCTATTAACACTTATTAAAGAAATTGGTCGCAACAGGTTTCACATACATCAGTTCTAAACCTAAAAGGCTTCGGTTTTGTAGGCTTTGGTTTCCTATACTTCTCCCCATGAGCATTGCTGGCAACAGATGTGGAGTTTTCTTTCTGAACCTTATCTGCTTGAGTGACCTGCATCATTGTTCAAGCGTTAACAGGCATAAAAAACCGTAAGGGAGAAATGGAAAAAAAAAAACTACGAATATACGTTATTCTCATATATTTTGTAGCCTTCTTCAAGGCCTGGAATTATACAACTATTTTTTCCACTAATAGCTCTTATTTACACCTTTACTGGATTTGCATCACTTCTTTTATATTAATAAAATTGGTGGACTGCACATTCTTCTTTTTGGACGCCAAAACATTTTTTTTTTTAAATTATCCTAGTTCCTTGTGGTTGAATGGGGATTCTAAGCTTCAGAGTTTCGAAAAACCTTAGAGCCAGCACCAATGAGCTTAAGCATAACAGATAAGAGCTAATGAGATAGAGGCTAAGCTACTTCACCTCTTCCATAAGTCCACGTCTCCACCCAAGCCTAGACATCCCAACATTGCCCAGATATGTGTCCCATCTTGAGCTGCAAAATTTACACAGAATTGCAAAATTGGAAGAGGTTTAAGCATGAACAGATTGTAAAATGCAAAACTTTATAGCAGCAAATTGGGATGCAAGCGAGCATCAACCATCATGAATAAAAAGTGGGTACACAAAATTGGCAAGAGATAAACTTGTTTCCTGAAACGTAGCTATGAGTGACGGCGATCAATCTCTCCATTTTTTACACAATTATACTTGAACATGTGTCTCAGTTGTAATCTCACTCAGTCTTTCCCTCAAACACTTTATCCTCTTTGTAATTCAAAGCCAATCTACCAATTCAGTGCAACAAAAGTAAGAGGTGAGTTGGGAAAAGCATACCTTCACAAAGCTAAAAGCTTTCAATACTCCACGACTTTCTTCTTCTTCTTCCTTTTGAGTATTTTCTGATTCAAGGTTGGCAGCGTTGCAGCACTCATCGAGCATGCCTATTTCAGTCACCCCAAATCAGTTTAAATTTTTTTAGGTTCAAACACAAAATTGGGCATAATAAAAACTGAACCAAAAGTCTTAATTGCTTACCTAAGTGAACAGGATTTTGGAAAGCAGCACGAGGCGTCCAAAACCTGGCCTGAAATCAGTTAATTACCCATGAAAAAACGAAATAAAGAGTGAATTAGAACATTTATCGGAGAGCTTACCTCTGCAGTTGTTGCCGAGTGGAACAAATTTCCGAAATTTAAAGGAATAATGGGTAGATTTTGATGGGTAGTCCAGGCAACCCCTCCCTTCAAAAGGATCTTCCGCTTAAGAAGCCGCTAGTGTCAAAAGAAAACAAAAAAGATATCATTGATTGACTATGTCGGCATCAAACCCAAAAAGAAAAGAAATCAATGGCAACATTGTAATTAATTCAAAATTGAGGCCCCATTCCATATGCAATTTGAATCTCTAGTCTAAACTAACGTGAATTTTCATGTACATCTGGGTAAGGAATTGTTATTGGTACTTCAAAAATCTCATTCTACATTCCTCATATGTGTATTTTTCTTTCCAAATATAGAAAGTTTGTAGTGTAGAATGTGATTTTTAAAGTGTCAATAACAATTCTCTATATATATATATGTGTATGTATATATATCAGCCCTTTATACAAAGGGATTCCTATTTTTTGAAAAAATGGGGATTAGATGTGGAGCCTACTTCACATCGAATTTCAACAATTTGAGCCGTCTATTTTGTTAGTCTCGATTCATAGATCATCCTTACAAAATTTCAATTCAATCCGAAACAATTTGCCTATTTAATTATCAAGATCAAATTTCATTGTTTCTTATATAACAAAGTATTTGTTCATTTATTTGAACTCAATTAGATGTTTTAAATATTTCTGATTTGGCTAATGTTTTGCAAAGATGATCTATGAGGTACAACTTGAAAAATAGACGGTTCGGATCATTAAAATTCGATGTGGTGTGGACCCCACAACTAATTCCCATCTTTATTTAAAAAAATAAGAATCTCTTCACTTAAAGGTTTTCTGTATGTATATATACACGTTTGACGCTGAATTTTATTCTAAATCGTTATTGATGCCATTCAGTTAAATCTTATATTAGTTATTAGTCTTAAAACTAGTGCTAGAAAATTCTTAGAGGTGTTCTATATATGAAATTCGAAACACATTTTTTTTTTTTTATAGGTAAACTGGACATTTTATTCCAAAGCCAAAGGCCAAACTAAAATACAAAGAGGTCCACCAACAACAAAATTACCAATCAAAACATTGCACCAATCAAAACACATGCTTATGTTTCTTGATGGGTAGATTTTTATCTGATTACAATTCAATGTGAGAAAATTAAATTAGAAATGAATGATGATTTTAATATGAAAATCTAGCAATGATCCGGAGTTAACAATTTACCGTGCATGATTCTGATTAGTTTGAAGGTTTATTAGTTGAAATGCTCCTGAAATGATAATTGACTCTTAGATTACCTCCTGATAATGGTTTTGTCTCACTGTACCTCCTAAAACTGACATTTTCAATTCTTTTGTCTCACTTTACCCACTTCTGTTAATGGACTATTAAATTTAAGGGTATTTTAGATATTTCAGTTTTTACACATTAACCTATATCCTACACACTAAACAAGTCTCAAATTTATTTTTGACAACTCTAATTCAAACGCATAAATTTTGGGCATTTTTAAAAATAAATTATTCAATTAATAAAAAAAATTTCAAACAACAAAATCATTGTATCAACCAGAAAATCATTTAAAGCAAATGTGCATAGTTTGAAACAAAAAAATTCACATTGTTGAGCACTGATTCCACTAGGCATGAGTTTTTTCAAACTGTGCACGTTTGCTTTAAATGATCTTTTCGGTTTGGGAAGTATTTTGGGTAGCATAGCTTAATGGTATAGTGATTTTGTTGTAATGAATATTTTTCAGTTGCAAAGTTTCGAGCCAATACATGTATGTCTTGCAAGTAAAATGACTATACGAACAAATGTAACCCTTATTTTGGTTGATACAATGATTTTGTTACTCGGAAATTTTCTGTTGATTGAATAATTTATTTTAAAAAATGTCCAAAATTTATGCGTTTGAATTACAGTTGTCAAAAAAAAATTTGAGACTTGTTTTAGTGCGTAGGCTAGAAGTAAATAAATGTGTAAAAACTAAAATGTCTAAAGTACCATTAAATTTAACAGTCTATTAACAGAAGTGGGTAAGGTTAGACAAAAGAGTTGAAAACGTCCATTTCAGAGGGCAAAATGAGACAAAACCAGTTTAAGAAGGTAAACTGAGACTCAATGATAGTTTAAAGGGCATTTCAACTAATAAGCCTAGTTTTAATGCATCTTGAAACCAAATTTATACAATTATCTACTTTACATAATTCTGATTTGATTAAAAATATATGTATCTAAAATGAACAAAATAAGCAACATTCAATCATTATATGGTGTTATATAGAGTTGCTTCAAATTTATTTTTGCAGTACCGACGTGTAACAAAACAAATCACTCCCAACAATAAAAATCTGAATTTTACTGGAAAATAATTGTGAAAAGTTAAGATTAAGAAATAATTTTCAAACCACACGTAATTCAATTGATTAAGAATGTCCACCGTTGCTCAAAATTAATGTAAATATTTTGTTGCCCGTATAATAGAGTGAATAGGTTGGCTTGATTTTACACCGACTTCTGTCATTGGATTCTTCTCACACGATCCACCTTTCTCCCACGCGTGTCAAACTCACAACGGCTATATTTTGCTTTTACAGGCCCAATTGCAGCGCAAAGGTCGGTCATCAAGTGGGCCCCGCAGAGGATCTGCAGTATAATTCCATATCTTGTTTCCCATTCCAATTCAGGCGACCGTTACACTCCCCATTAAAAACCCAGACAAAAAAAAAAAAAAAACCATCTTTCTCTCTCTGTGACCATGACGGTCGCCGCCGCAGCCACCACCCACACCAAGAAGCTGGTGAAGCTCGGCCGCTCTCTCTTCCGATGGGGATTCAACTCCTCCAAATGGTACATTCTTCTCTCTCTCCGCCTTTCCCCTTTCCGGGTTTCTCTACTTTAGTTCTTTCCTCTGTTTGGTTGCCTAGAAAATTTTGAATAATAGGAGTTATTAAGACCTCAGATTGTGAAAGGTTGAAAATTGTGTTCAATGTTTGCATTATCTGGGCAATTTAATAGGGTCGGAGTTAGTCTTAGTCCCTTTGTTTGGTTGCCTGGAATATGTGGGAAGGGGGAATTATAGAGACCCAGATAGTGAAAAGTTGTTAGAGTTGAGATATTTGTTCAATGTTTGCATTATACCGGCAATTTAGCAGGGTGGGAGTTAGTCCCTCTGTTTGGTTGCCTAGAAAATTTGGGTAGTAGGAAGAATTGAGACTCTGATAGTGAAAAGTTGTTAAAGTTGAAATCTTTATTCAATGTTTGCATTATAGGTGGAATTTAATAGGGAGGGAATTAGTCCCTCTGTTTGGATACCTAGAGAATTTGGATTGTAGGGGTAAATGAGATTTGAGACCCAAATAGTGAAAAGTTGTTAAAGTTAGAATCTTTGTTACCATGTTTGCTCTTTCTCGGCAATGTAATAGGCCGGGAGAGATTTCCCCTGTTTGGTTGCCTAGAATATGTGGGTGGTTGGAGTTATTGAGACCCAGATTGTGAAAAGTTGAAATTTTTGTTCCATGTTTTGCATTTTTTGACAATTTAATAGGGTGGGGGGAATTTTTTTTTTTTGGCTGAATGATTGTTCTTGCTCATTGTTTTGCTAATGGGGATCAATGGAATGAATGTTGAAACAGCAAAATGCAAGCGAAGATGGCGGTGGCTAGAATAAAGCTGCTGAGGAACAAGAGGCAGGCGGTGGTGAAGCAGATGAGGCGTGACATCGCCTTACTCCTACAATCTGGTCAAGACGCCACTGCTCGAATCCGGGTACTACATTTTAAAGTCTTATTAATTTTTCTATTGGCTAAGTAACAAATGTGTGACTGGATTTCCCGTGCAAGTTACTAGAACAACTTCCTCAATTTTTTGTTTCCTTGCATGTTTTACTGACACTAGTGGGTAAAACTATTTTTGGTTTTCTTGCATGCTTTATTGACAGTGTAGTGGGTAAAACTATTTTTTGTTTCCTTGCATGTTTTATTGACACTGTAGTGGGTAAAACTGCATCGTTTATATTTATGCATTTTTGAGGATTTTGTCCCTTATTCATTATAGTACCCAAACTTCTACTTCAGTCAATGTATTAAAAGGCGAAAGAGTAGGCGAGGCATTCTATGAATAGCCCCGCCTTAAGGCGTGAAGCGACGCCTTATGAGACTTAAGATTTCTATTATAACTTACATATAATTATATATATTATGTAATATTATGGTGGAATACTTAAAGAGTCTTAAAAGAAAAAAAACAAGAATAATATAACATTTTAAGAAGAAAAAAAAAATAACTACACAAAAATAAAAACAAATAAATACTTATTTTTTCTTGTTGGCTACTTACTTTTTAAGGAATTGTTTGGGCCCAAAATAATATTGTTGGGCCGAGTGTAGGTTTGTGCTCGGCCCAAAGCCGTATTAAAAATACTATGGGATGTCTGGTGATTCCGGGCCATTCAGTAGGGATGGTCAAGTCCTATTACAAGAAGGAGTAGTTCAGATAAGCAAAGGGGTCGAGGAAGTCCTAGTGCAGTTAGGATTCTCGACCAACAATGAATAAAGCCCCAAAAAGGGGTGAGTTCAAAGTCTTAATAGGAGTAGGGTTGTTCGAAGCAAAGTTGGAACGAAACAAGTACTCCCAATCCATATATGAGTTTAATTCGATCTCAAGAAGAAGTTGGTGCTATAAATACAAGACATCATGCAACAATTAGGGACCTCCAATTGAACCCACAACTGCCCTACGCAAAACCTCTCAAACTTCTTGAGATTTTTTTATTTTCTTTTTCTCGCCAACACATCTTCAGTTTGGATAAATAGCATTGTGAAGGCAACCGGCGAACACCTTCAGTTTGGATAAACAGTGTAGAATCAGCCGATCGAGAAGCACCTTCAGTTTGGATAAACATCACTGCGTCGAGGCTAACTAGTTACCTATCTAAGTCTCGGTCGAGAAGGGTTTTCGAATCCTTATTGGCAGAGGTCATCTTATTAGCCTTCTCGGCGAAGTAAGGTGTTACGAGTTATGGCATTCGGCATACTGGACGCCGAATGATTTTATGATTGGATACTCACAAGTGAGTTTCAGAGTTCGGCATTCCGATGGCCGAACCACATTCACCATCAAGACATAC